TGCTATGCGAATGTGAAGAAGCAGCGATCTCTTTAGCTCTGTAGCTGTCCTGTTCTGCAAAATTTAAAGCCCATTAATAACCATCACCTGTTTTGCAGGTGTAGTGAAAAAGAGAGATTTTGCCAGGTGCTGCTGAAAGGTGAACTTGAAGCTTGTGAAGGAGCACTTTTCATTTTAATTAATTCTGCACGCGAAGCTTCCACCAATATTAATCTCCTTTGACCAACATGGTTAATTAATTACCCTAAGTGTTTGTAAACAGATTTTCTACATACTCCTTCTCCAACTGTTGCATGCTGACCTCTTTGATGATGTGTGGCTCTAATAGTGGTGGCATAAAGAATAGCAGAGATGCCGCCAACAGGGGCTTCCAACTGAAAGCAGAGCATCCACTGGGTTGCATAAAACATAGCTTGACTGACTGAACAGGGTACTCAGGATGAGTCAGGCAATGAATAAAGTTACTTGGGGGTGCTTCTCGTTATTCCTTTTGCACATATTAAGATCAACACAAATGGATTTCTGCAAACTGAACCAGTCTGGTGAGTGATTTAGCACATGCCCAGTTGCCACTGTTCGTTCCAGTTCAGTCAGCTCATCTAGAGATTTCCAGTGGGCGATAACGATTGATTTGGACAGATTGAACAATTAGAAGACCAATTCAATGTGTGCAAGTGCATGAAATGAGTCAAGCATATATAAAAATGTTGTGGGAACCTGCTTTCTTTGCAAAGGCCCCAAAGTTCCAGGTCCATAGGAATCTTATGCTGTATTACGCCAAGTCAGAACGTTGGTCCACGTAGCTCATTATTGTCTGTACACCGAAATGCAGAGGCTCTCAAGGGTTTCAGACAGGGGACATTCTCAGCTGTACTTCCCTAAACAGGAGGTTTACAGATTTACAAGGGTGACTTCCAAGAACTGCACAGGGAGTTATCACTTAGAAGGTGAGCTGGTGCAGTGCGAAGCCATGGCTGTAACAATGTACTTACTGCTAGCTCAAAATCTGCAGGGATTCCAGAATGCTTTCCTTTTGTTTGTACAACCTTTCAGAATTATCATTATTATTTTAATTGGAAGCCTTAGCTTTTAATTACTTTGCCTTGAAAAATGTGACTTTTAATTCTGTTAGTAATAGTGCCATCTTTGTAACACATTGCACCCTCCGAATTGCATATAATATTAAATGCTACTTTGGATATTTCCCCCCTTCCACAGTGCCTCCCCCTCAGATCTTTCCCCTGTTTTTATAAGAGTCAGTCATGCATGTTCATATCCATGCAAATGCATTATCCATCTCAAAAACGAATGGGGATCCTCTCTTCCGATCCAGTTCTGTGAGGAAGGAGTTTTTAATATGATATCTGTAGCCTACATTTAGAGACTCAAATCTGCCTGTTAGAAGTGCTAAAGTGTTCATTTAAATACGAAATGCTAACTTGTGTCAGTGGTATTTACCTGGTCCAACACACACATACAACTTTCCCTTTCCCTCTACTTTGGGCAATTGATATGAGGCTTATTGGAATGGAACGATTTTTTCATATTTCATTACTCCTCTCATAGGTATGCAAACAGATTGTCAGGTTGTAGAATGCTGTGTTTGCTGCACTCATGTCCTTGCTATGCTTTTCTCATCTAAAATGATGTGATGTCTGATATACCCTAAAAAGAAAGGAAAGGAATGTCTCTCACACCAAGATCCTCAGTAGTGAGCCCTCCTCAGTTCCGAGTCACTTATTTCTAAGTAAGCATACATAGGATTGTAACCATGCAGTCAGAACCTCTTTGCCTAATAATACTTATTTCTGGGTTCTTTCAGTTGATAGTTTGCTGTCGACAGGTGACTGGATGTTGCCTTAATCATTTAAACTCTGAGACTTCATCATGACACAGAAATGCTCTTTAAATGTTCACTCAGCCATCTGGAGGTACTTGCCTGATGTCTTGAAGGGATTGTAGCCACACAAAGTTCCTTGTTTGTAGTGTGTCAGCTTGCACACACTGCCATATTTGCCAAAAGCTGCTAGCACAGAGTCTGAGCACCCTTTGTACTGCAGATTGGAGCACCCCCTGTCATGTGAAGCATTTAACAGTTGCGGTTTTCCACTATATGTTTGCTTGTCCTTGAACATATCCCATGTGGTTTTGTAGAACATCTACATGACCCAACTATATGGTCAGGGCTAAGGGAGTCTTACCAGCCCCACCACCTAAAACTGGGTGCTGTTGTTGTGAAAGAGACCGATAGGGGCTTCCTGCTGCCCCTGTGGTTAAATGTTTAGATGCACCTGCCACCCATGTGGGATTCTGTAATGGAGGTTTGTGCATGTGGAAGTCCATCAAAGTGTTTAAACTTTCCACCAGCAACTGAAGGTTTTAGCAGCGTTTTACTTAGTATCACCTCCATACATTGTGCAACACATTCCACACTGCACACATATGCCAAGATGAGTTTCTAGGCTTCTAAACAAACCCAAAATTCATAACACTACAATGTATTTTATTGCCTACTCAGGAGAATGTCGGACCCACCTATCATAATTCTTGTAATACCTATGGATTTGACTGTTCAAGTCCTCTGTAAACCCTTTGGGATCCTGAGTAAGCAGGTCACCTATGCCTGTAAATGACTTTTATTCCTTTCTTGAAATAACTTGTTTACTAAGCCCACATTGGATTCTCTCTCTCTTTTTAAAACCTTAATTTGATATTATTTTTTTAAAAGGAGCAATAAATATTTAATGATCTGGGTGCTGTTAAATTCAGAATACCCAAAAATCCTTGATTATACTGACGTAACCTTTGACATCCAAAGAGGCTATAACAAGTGCTTTTGTCCAGTGATTCTAAAACATCAGATGCAATAGTAGAAGAGGGTGAACTGACAGACATGAGGAATTAAAGCCCACAAAGCAGGTAAAGAGTGAGCAACCAAAGTTCACTTTAGTCTTCCACCCACACTGCTCCCGTATTCACCTTGCCTTGACCAAAACCCAGTGGGTGGAGGTTGAGGGAGCCACAGCCACAAAATATAGGGGAGTTTGTTCAGCCTGTGCCCTCTTGTCTCATATGTGCTAACCAAGGCAGTAATTAGTGTCAATGGTGATGGAAATAATGGGCACAAAGGCAGGACTTTTCATGTCTGAAAGCATTATTGATAGGTATTCTGGACTTTCTGTTGGGAATATTGCACCTCAAGGAGCATTAGTCCTAAAAATGTCAACTTGTGAATGGATCAGAACCAATTTCAAAGAAATATTTTTTCTATATCTAGTACTCAATGTAGAAAACACAGTAATGTCAAGTTCCCAGGAACTTACTTTGGGTATTAATGGAAGATGAAGGTTCATAATGTCATACATAGTAGCATAAAACTAAGCTTATTTAAGCTTCCTGTTAAAATATTGTCATGTGTTGCAGAAAACTGAACAATATATTCTTTTTTCTTTTCTTTTTTTACATTTTTGTAGCAAAATCTTAAATGGGTGTTTATTAAAGGTATAATAGGTATAATAATAATAATTCAGCCAGGGAACATGGAAAACCTTTATCTTTGCAATGTAGTGTTAGCTGTGGTAACATCCCATTCAAGTACTTCACACAGAAGCAGGGGTTACATTCCTCTTAAAGTCAGCATTCAGCTTTGCTCCTGGATGTCCAGGGAGCAGTGCCATAATGACCAGGAATCTTCTTAAAAGCTTCAAGCTAATCTGCAGCTGTTCCCTTTTCTGGAGAAACTGGGCATGGCCATTTATCCTTGTGCCTTAGTTGCTCCCAGGTTAGATTATTGTAATGTACACTACCTTTGAAGAGGGTTGAGAAAGCAGCTTCCGGAGTTCTAAATGGAGTTTGCAAGTTAGATCCTATTATTCTGATGTTCCACTGGTTACCAGTTTGTTTCTAAATTCAAGGTGCTGACTTTAACATTTCAGGCCCTGAATGGTCTAAGACCAGGGAATCTCAATAATCACCTACTCCCATATGAACCTGATCAAAGCACTGAGATCTACTTCTGAGCCCTCTTCCAAGCCTTCTTGTTGTTGGACTTGGGCATAAGAGACAGAGCTCTTTTTGTGTGACACCTTCCTGAGGGTTGTGCATGTGTGTTTGGCCCTGCATCTTCCAAGACAACAATGCCCATTTACACCACAAAGAACTCATAACCCACCTACTATCAGCAGCCAGAAACACCATAACCAGACACTGGAGAGACCTGTCAGGAGTAAACATGGACCAATGGTACCAAATAGTTTGGGAAACAGCCCTACTAGAAAAATTAACTAATAAACTGAAACTGACACGGGGACAAACAGAAGAAGACGCCTTCACCCCGGTATGGCTCCCCTTTATCACATACACAGCCCAACAGGACAATGACAATAATCCACCAACAGCATACAAATCAATATGGCTAACCTGATCCAAAACACCCACCCACCTCACTCACACACAAAAACAAAGATCACCACAGCCAATCGCAAGCAAACAATCACACCCTAGGCCAACCCCAACCTCTCTCACCACCAAAGGAACACAAGTGAACAACACAAGCAACGCTGACACCAAACTCTACATACATTAAACATAATAGAAACACCGCCACCCAACCCCACCCCCATCCATCTTCCCTCTCTCCACCCCCTTTTCTTTTTTCCTTTTTTTCTTCTCCCCCTAATGCCTCAACAAATGAAATGGATTTGTAAAAATGTTACATGGAAAAAAAAATACGAGGCATTACACTTACTTCTGTAAAACAAGAAAATCCTTAATAAAATATTAAAAACTGAGGCCTTTTGTTTCAGTGGGTTTTAATGGGATGCTGCTGCTGCTTCATTAAGACCGGCTTCATTTTAGGATCAGGAATTAGTGCGTAGTTTTAAAATTAATTAATCCAGACATTCAGTTTCCATGTATTTCTACAAAGTTCAGCTGCAGGTGGACTGTAATTTGGGGTGATGGTTTTAGCAATGATCTCTTTCTGTTTTTCCATTGCTTCAGGTGGGATGGTGGAAGGACAAGCGTCTCAAGATGAAGTATTATGTGTGGCCACGTTCTGAGCTTTACCCTGACAGTGAGGAGCGTGCAGACGACCATCTTAGCATAGTGACCCTAGAAGAAGCACCGTTTGTCATTGTGGAAAATGTGGACCCTCTAAGCGGTACCTGTATGAGAAACACTGTCCCATGCCAAAAAAGAAATGTGACAGAGTAAGTGCCAACAGGATCTTTCTCCAGCTGATTCCTCCTAGCATGTTTCTCTCCACAGCAGCAAAGCCAGCTGGACTGTCTCAGGCTGGCTTTGTTGCCACTTGCCACTAATTCAACGTTCCAGTCAGCTTGGCTCATTCAGCGAAACATCAAGCAGAGTTTTCAGCTAGGGATGTAATGGAGAATGAAAGAGAGAGTAGCCAAGGAAAGAAGTAGGGGATAACAGTAGTCAATTTTCAACAATTCTAAATTCTAGCACAGATCAAAATTGTCCAAATCACATTTTTGTTGGAAATTAGCACCTTTGTCTAAAAAAAGGAAGAAGATGAAAAAAGAAAAATGACAAGAATATATTTTCAAAATTTCTGCTTATAACATTCAGTTTCTGCTGAGAATGCCACACAAAGTTTGAATTTGCAGCTAAACATGGTAGTTCTGTGTTTTTCAAGGATCATATGGAATTTCTTAAGATTAAATCCACTTTCTGAGTGCAGCATGATGGAAAAAAATGGGCCATATATTTTTGTTTTTAGTTTTAAAATATCATTTATCAGTTACACTTAATCACTTTTTGTTGTGGCTGTTTAGCAACAAGACGGATGAGGAGACTGCGTATACCAAGAAATGTTGCAAAGGGTTTTGTATTGATATTCTCAAGAAAATCTCCAAGTTTGTCAAGTTCACCTATGACCTTTACTTGGTAACCAATGGTAAACATGGGAAGAAGATCAATGGAACATGGAATGGAATGATAGGCGAGGTAAGCCCTGAAAGGTACCTGCTTTTACTTACAGGCTCACCAACAGACTGTATGAATTATTTCCCCTCTATCGCCAGGTGATACTTGTTCTTGGGGCAGAAATCAATTGAGTTATGCTTTCCAAATCTGTGTATCAATTTGAATTTTGCCATTGGGAAAAATTATCATCTTGGAATTATCATCAAACAAATTTGTGAAGCTATATGATATTTACATGGTGTTTTTTTTAAATATAAAAGCAAATGTAAGAAAAAATGTTTTATGGAACAAGCAGGAAACGAAGAGCAATAGAAATAATGTTGTTTTCTGCTGCTTGTGGTCCATTTACTGCCAGAGTATTTCTCAGCATGCGTTTGATGGAGGAGGTGATGCGAGGTATGACATGCAATAACACAAAAGGAAACACCAGTATATACAACTGTAAAGTTTAAAGGATTTTTGCCACCTTTCTCCAAGTCTCTAAATCTGTGGGCAGCAGCTGAGTCGCAGGGTCAACTCTTGACATCTGCAGGAAGCACCGGGAGACATCCCTGCCTGAAACCCTGGAGAGCTGCTGCCAGTCAGTGTAGACAGTGCTGAGCTAGATGGATCAGTGGTCTAACTCAGCATAAAGCAGCCTCCTATGTTGTTCCTAAATGTACATTGTCTCTGGTCCCAACACCCAAAGTGTTTTGCAGGTATGTGTACATATGTGTGTACACAAATACTGAAACCAACCCACAACCAATTGGTTGCCTTAAAGGGGCACACTTGTGGGGAGGGCTGTTGTTTTCCAGGGAAATGGAAAACAAGGATGGTCCTTCCCAGTAATTATTTGTTTTTCCTTTCACTGATCTGACCTTCCATTCTGAATGTTCAAATATGATGTGAAATAATTCTTAGCTAGCCTGCCACTCTTTTTCTCCTCTCTTATTGCACAATGTGCCACCTTCTTCCTCCATTCTTTTTCCTTTATCTTTCCCAGTTCCCATTTCCAAATGTGATGTCAACACCATTTGCCCTTGCTTTCTACCTTCCTGCCTCATATATACAAAACCTTGTGAATGTGTGGCAGCCTGTCGCTGTTTTAACTTACCCGAAAGCATCCTTTATTCTTGAACAAGTTCCAGCTCCTGCATGCTAGACTCTAGTCTCTGCATTAACTATTTTTCTGTCTCCTTGTCTCAGGTGGTTGACAAACGTGCCTATATGGCGGTGGGATCCCTCACCATAAATGCAGAACGCTCAGAAGTGGTAGACTTTTCTGTACCCTTCATTGAGACAGGCATTAGTGTAATGGTGTCGCGAAGCAATGGGACTGTCTCACCTTCTGCCTTTTTAGGTAAAGTTTTTTTAAATTATATATATATTTTTTGAGGCAAAGTGCAGGGGAAAATATTTTAAGACAAACAACCAGAATGTTTGCTGTTCTTTTTCTAATTTAAAAAACAAACAGCACACACACACTGCTTGAAAGAAACTTTATACACTCTAAAGTTCAATCCTGAACTAGATTTCAGAACCAGGTTCTAGATGTGAAAATGAGAATACTAACAAACAACTTCAGAAATATTGGTCCCAGGTTCCAGAACTAGAAGTTTAATTATGTTCAAATACATTTATTCAGCTTTCCCCTGATCTTTGCTTCCTGGAGCTGACCTATGACAATCATTTGGCATCCCAGCAGTATGACATGCAGACGATCGGAAGAAGCTTTTCCTATCACTTTGCCTTATATCCAAAGAAGTGAAGGCAGAGTCTCTTTCTTGCTTTCTTTTTTGAAGTTTATAAGCCTTTTTTGCGTGCAAAGCCCTCAAAGCACCATAAAACATTAAAAAATCAAATGAAATCACAATAGCAGCAGAGAAAATATACTGACAAAAAAGCTAGATACTAATTCTTAACTGGCTAGTTCATTTCCATTCTGAGGATCTACATCAATATGGCGCTCTGTGCCAGTCTACAGAAAGGGAAAGAACTAGGCTGGCTTTCTGGGGTACAGAGTTCCAGAGCCTGGGTTAAACCAGGCTGAGAGTCAAAGCAAAGTGAATCACAATGGAGTCGCATGCTCCAGACAACAGGATCCTAACATCAGCCTGAAAGCAGTATTTTGAACACATTTCAAAGGCAGAACCACTAGAACGTATTGCAAACTACTGCAATTGCATATTACCACCTCTCCCCATACTAACCCACCCAGAGCCTGCAAGAAGGGCCTGAGGCCCTTCTTCGTGTGAGGTCTGGAGGGTGGCAATACAAGAACTGGACTTTTCTGCAGTAGTTTCTCGCTTGTGGGATGCTCTCTCCAGGGAAGCTCACCTGGCACCTTCATTATATACCATAAGGTGCTGGCAAAAACTCACTCCTGTGTAAGTTCTGTACCTGAAAGCAGCTGCCATTTAGAATAACAGTAACTGTAAAGAAACAGTAACCAAATCAGTTCTGGGTGGAATTTAATGATGGGCTCTTCCAATCTTTCCACCCACATAAGCCTTTCTGCTTGCCAGATAGAACAATACCAGCTCTCCTCCCTAGGGGGCAGGGTGAGGAGACGAGGGGAAAAGGCCCTTTCCATAAGTGGATGTCCTTGCACTTGGCTTCCACTGATGGGGCTGGCTTGTATTTTGGGGTAGGATGGAAAAGTACCTACAAAATTTCTGTCTCTTTCTCTTTAGAGCCATTCAGTGCTGATGTATGGGTGATGATGTTTGTAATGCTGCTTATAATCTCTGCGGTGGCGGTCTTTGTCTTTGAGTACTTCAGCCCTGTGGGATACAACCGGTGTCTGGCTGATGGCAGAGGTAAGGAGACATATCTCTCAACATGCAACAAATATGGTCTTGCTTGTTTAGCTTGGCTTCATTTTATCCTCCTCCTGCATATATGTCAACCATTTACAGATTTTGTATTTTCTCTGGGTAAACAAGGAAAGAAGTTGAATCAATAGGTTCACAAACAGCAGAAAATTTAAATGGATCTCTTTGGATTATTGGGCATTTGCATGGTTCACAATACAGAGCCACTAATTTCCAGCTGACCTGAAATTATCTGCCTGACCCTATGTGTGTTTGCTCATAATTTCTCCAAAGTAAACATGCTACTTTGTTAAACTGAAATATATATTCCCTTGGACAACTGTTCACATTTGAATTGGTACCCAGCAAATGTGCAAAATTTTGCAAATTTTGTCATGCATATGAATTTTAACATAATAAATTTGCAACCCTTGATTGCTTTTCCTACTTTGGTTCTGCTTGCCTTGGCTGTATAACTGGAAATTTACATGACGACAATGATGATGATGATATTACAAAGCTATGTAATGTTACATTCATCTATCTCTCATTACACTAATTGCATTAATGGAATTATTTCCTTTCAGAGATTCACCCAAAGTGCCTAATGGAGAACCTCTGCACATTAACCCCTTGCAAATTAATTCACATCTAGATTGTGTGTCAGAAGAAGGACAGGGATAAGGAAGTTACAGCAATCTAGGGGTGCTTGAAGCAGCAGAAATGACAAACCATCTCCACTGTCATACTCTACTGCCTCCATAAATTTGAGACATATTAACCATTAATTTAATATCCTCGGGTGGGTGGGGGATGTAGATGGAGTAGTTGCGGGGGGACAGGGAGCAAAAAGTGCAAAGCTGTCTGATTAGAGAGTTGGTTTATGAGTGAAGGGCAAAGGCAGAATACAGAAAATAAGTGAAAGCACTTGGATGCTGGTAAGATACTGGTATATTCCCTTGGCTTTGTTGAGCTGTGAAATGGCCCCCTACGTAAGACCTTCTGGTTTACCCACAGGCTGAAAATATGAAGATGCTTGACCTGAGATATTTGTGTGAAAATCGTTTTACCCGCTTCTCAAATTTGCCCTGAACGTATCTATGCCACCAAGTTTCTGAGCCCTGAAGAAAAGATATTTTGAAATGGAAATTTAGTCAGAGCTTTATGTATAGTCATGCCAAAGGGAGCTGTTGTCCACAAGCTGTGGACAGCATACATGGACCAATGCACATATCTAAGGAGATGTATGCAGAGTTGTGAATATTCATGAAGATGCTCATGCTGAAATTTCTGTATACACACCATGCACATATTTTTAGTACAGGTAGCAGAACAGATGTGAATGGTGAATAGCTTGAATGAATTATTTGGGGCAAAACTGGATTCTATATGTGAAATGATGACATACATTGTTATGAAAAACATGCATTGCACAAGGCCAATATGGATATGTTCATGTGTGTTTTTTCTGGATACCAAATGCTACACAGAGTTCACTGTGTGTTTGCAGCTGTTTGCATAGTCCACATGATGTTAGCCCATGCAACTCAATGGGACTTACTTCTGTGTAGTCATTGAGGATGATAATCTTAACTGTTAAGGTATCCTGAAAAGGTACTCTTGCTTTATAAATCTATGGTGATTCTGGAAGAAGCAGCAGCAAATATAGACCATGCAAAACAGAAAATGAGCAATGTTCAACAGTGTTTCTTTGCAATTATGCAGTGGAGCTAGTTTAAAGTTTTATTTTATTTATCCATTTTCCCTTTAAAAGTTTCCTTTAAAAGTTCCTTACTCGCTTCCTCAAATTTTTAAAATGCAAATTATAAACATCAATACAGAGATAAATTAATTTGCATGCAAAAATAAATGTTGATGAAATGCTTCACTGTTAAGTATTCAAAAAGCCAAAAAATGCAAAATGAATGTTTCTCATAATAACTTATCTCATCTGCATTGCATATGTGGGAGCCAGATTTGCCATCAGATACATTCATTCAATTCTTATTGAAAGTCAGCTGGAGTTGTGGCACATAAGCCTGCATTAATAAGCATAACTAATAGACTCTGTGAACTTGGTTTGAGTTAGTTCCATTAAAATGCAGACGGGAAAAGAGCAGCTGTGTGAAGGAACTCTCTTGGCCTTGTACTTCATTGCATGGATGTTTCTAGTTGTTTAGATCACAGTGACCTTGTAGGACTTAAAGAACTTTTGAAAACCTGTGCTCACACTTACTTAACAGAACAACAATAGCTATGATACCAAATGCCACAATTTGTTATAGAGCTAGAGGCGTCATGAAATTTCTGTTTTACTCATGGGAGTGCTCCTGAATGTCTAAAACTCGTGATGTGAAAAAGATTTATGTGTGCCTCTATTTGCAAGTCATACATAAGTACTGTATGCCAAGACTCAGAGAGCAGCACTGCATACTTTCACCTTACGGGGAGGCACGTGTATCACTTCCTCCCTGTTGCAGTTTAGGTTGCAGGAGTGGCTTGCGGAGTTAGTCACTTCAGTGACTCTATTTATGATAACGTTTGGATAAACAAAAATGCACGCGTGTATTGTTAAGGCAGATGACATTTTGTTATACCTCACCCTTCATCTGAGGTACTCAAAATGACCTTTTAGCTTCACAGCAACCAGAAGATGATGACTTGGTGAGTTGCCCAAGGTCACCCACTGAGCTGAGCAGCCAAGGGTAAATTCGTTTCCGGGTTTCCCACAGAACGTTAGGGTCCTTTTACTCATTTATTTTGTGGGATCCAGGCATATTTATTTAAGACACTTTTCTGCTACAGGACTGTCACATTTCCCCTGCGTTCCACCTACAGCATTTTGTGGATGGGAAATGCAAATTGTTGTCCTTTGTGCAGAATGTGGCCGCTGGAATTCCATTGTACCCACCTAAATGTCAGTGTCACAACAAATAGAGATGAGCAACACACCCCATACTCACTCATTTACTATGTTAACACAATTTTCTGTACTTTTAAAAGTTCAGCTTTTAGAGTTGTGCTTTGTTGGGGACTGTTTTTACTTTTTGTTAGAGGATCATTCAATCCCAAGAACACTCATGTAGCCCTCAAAAGACAACATGTGAACATCAGCAATGCTAAGTGTTTTTCAATAATTTTTATTATCTTTGATGTGCTTTCCCTTTCTAGGGTTGGAGAGCACATCCGTTTTGTGTTGTTTTGTTTTGTTTCAGAGTAGTAAAAAGTAGTTCCCCCTCCCAGAACACTAGTCAAGCTCTCCCCAAACATGACTGCTTTCTTCAATTACACGGGGGACTGGGAAGCCTATTGGCTGATAACTGATTGGCTCCGCCATGAAACCTGAAGCCTACCACTGACGCATCACACTGCCAAACCATGCTTTGATAACTGGGAACATCCAACAAGGTTGTGCCATCTCCCAACTTCCTCCAGCTGCATGAATTTCCCTTTCTTTCTCTGGTTAGTGTTAACTGCAAGGTTTCATTGCTACATCTGAGCTGGCATAAGAACAGTTACCACTGACCATAGTTAGCTTCTAAACCAGAGATTGAGGTAAACTTCTAACCCTGGTTTCAGTCTCTGTTTTAGAAGCCAACTGATATTTTACCTCTTCAGATTTAACACTGCAATTCTATGGACACTTACCTGGGAGTAGGTCCTGTTGGGGCTTACTTCTGAGCAGACATAGTTAGAATTCTGCTGTAAATTAGTTGATATTAACCAGGAAGAACAGAGAAAGAGAGGAAGAAAAGCGTGCAAATTTATGGGATTCTTCCAGTATACCAACCTATGTTTGCACAATCAGACAAAGTGATGTATAAGAGAAAAGGGTGAGGATTTTGTACTAACTACTTGGAATGACGGACTTTGCCAGTCTGATCACTATTTCTGCTTATGTTTTTGGTCATTTCAGAGCCTGGTGGTCCTTCTTTCACCATTGGCAAAGCTATCTGGTTATTGTGGGGCCTGGTATTCAACAACTCTGTGCCAGTGCAGAATCCCAAGGGAACTACGAGCAAGATCATGGTGTCTGTGTGGGCCTTCTTTGCTGTCATCTTTCTGGCCAGTTACACTGCCAATTTGGCTGCCTTCATGATCCAAGAGGAGTATGTAGACCAGGTGTCTGGGCTGAGCGACAAAAAGGTAATGCATTTGCAACCTCAGAGGGTTGCTTCCTTGTCACGAAATCCTTTTGCTTCTTCTCTGATTTTAATTGAGTGCACCCTGAGCTTGGTTAGCAATAATGCAGCCATAATTTAATTTATGATGTTAGTAATAAATAACATGATAATTCAAATAATAAGAAAACTTTTTAATTCTATTTTGTGCGTGTTTTTTAATTGATTTGTGAATATTTAAACCCAAGTTTCTCAAAGTATAAAGTGAGCATCCCTATGTGTTGGCATCCTATAACTTTATGATCAGTTGCCAGCAGAGCTGAAACGACCTCCCTGATAAACCCAGATTTTGTATATATCTTGACTGGGCAAAGAAATAGAATGTGCCTGCTCTCTTCTTAGCAACTGTGAAGTAATAAACTAGTGCTCTGCCTCCCATTCCTTCTGCTACCCTTTAATCCACTTGAACTCTGCTTGGGGCAAGTATGACAAATACAACATTTTGTCTTTGGCTGATTTTGTTCTCCTGCTTTCCAGTTTCTGTAGGAATTTCTCACAAGCTGAGAAGTGCTGCACAGCAATGCTCTGAGAGGTTATTATTATCTTCCCTGTAAAGAGGAGGAACAGACACTGATATGCTTAAGTCCATGGCAGAAATAGGATTTAAGCACACACACCCCATACACAATAGCCCACTCCTATGCATAGTTATATGGAAATCCCACTATATTCAATTGGCTTTACTCCCAAATAAGTGTGCACAGGATTGCAGCGATAGGTTATATATTTTAGCATGAAGCTTAAGAAAATGGAAGAATATCAGCTAAATAGCTATAGTTGGAAGTACTTAGGCTGGAGAGAGAAAAAATACCCTCATGCAAGTTAATGTAGTTACAATGTAGTTGATAATTTGGGGCTCTGCTGTTATTGGTGAATGAGGGATGGGGATGCAACCCTGAAAGGAAATTTCCCTCACCCATTTTCTTAATATTTTTTTCTTCCTTGCTCTCATTTCCTGATTTTTTTGCAATTGTGTGAATTATAGATGCAGATGTTTTATGGTAGGCTGGGCTGTGCAGCAGCATTAGACAGAGGTCACTGGCTTGTGATCACAGAGGTGGACTCCTTGTGCTTATGGGTCATAGCTATTGATGAATATAGTGTTGCAAGCTCTAGTTTATCATTAGTGCATTGGTTTATTTTTTAGCAACAATAATGATATTTATTAGTTCAATATTATCTTATCATACTTTGTTAAAACCAGGCTTGTCTGATATGCTGCAAGGGTGGCACTACAGTCTCCTAGATTAGATGTCCTCAAGACAGATGTCCGTAATATTTGTGACCTTCTCAGTGCCTTTTTAAATTATTCATTCTGTCCCATTTTGACCTCACAAACCATCAAAGATGATGAGTCTTCGGTGGTTGCTGATGGATGAATTAGCATATATAAGAAGCACAGGATTATTGTTGGTAGATTCAAATCCTGGGGGGAAAGGCCTTTCTTCCTCTGTCCCTCCCCCTCCCTTTTGAAATATTAAATGCAATTTGTACCAAACCATGGGCTATTCTTTACCTTAAGGTATATTCTGGATTTCAGGTTCTTGGATAGATGGCCAAACTTCATGTAATGTAAAGGTTCTGTGGCTGGAAATCCTGTTGTCTTTTCCCATTACAAAAAGATCTGCCTGATTTGGAAGAGGGAGTTTAACAATTTTTTAATGTATGTGTTGCATCCACACTTCTTAGCTCCCCATCTTTTCAGAAAGTCCTTCCCTGGGCAGCCAAAGAAGAGGAGGTAAAATGGTCTCCGCACTTTTCCCCACCCCCAACACCAGAGGTGTAGCAACTATCACTCCTCTCCTCTCCTCTCATTTTGTCCCACAGCAGCCGCCCAGGCAAATCCTTCCAGAAAGTAGGGGAGGAGTTAGTATCATAGCCAATGGGAGTTGGAAGTTGGCGGATCCTTCCAACTCCAGCAAATGCTCCATGCTGCAGAGCTTGAAGATAAATTATAGTCGTCCCTCTGCTTGCATCAGGTTGGCAACCCACAGCTTTGAAGGCTGCCTGCACATTACACATTGTAGCTTTATTTCTAGAAGGGCTGAAGACATACTGTTTTTAAAAAATTAAAAACTCAGTGTTTGGGTCCTCTGCTGCCATGAGCCCTAGTGCAATTGCTGCAATTGTACCATTATAAATCCATCTCTGTTAGGACTGAATGGATTCCTATTGCCTGGGGTCCAAACAACTCACTATATCAGTCACAGCTCTGACCTCACTTATTGGCTAAAAACATTGAGAGGCCGGAACAGCCAGGCTGGCTCATTTGAAAGAAATTATTCAGAAAGGTACCTGCATGTTATGATTGATAAATTTCTTATTAGAAGGGCTAGAATCTTCTTCTTTTTTAATGAAAGCTCTGAGTCTGGTAACCCCCTTCAGGGATGCCAATGAAGGCCTTCATGGGCACCAGGTTGGTGACCTCTGTCCTAACGGACCAGCCTCCACTGATTTTAATTGGGAAGAAGGAGAAGCAAACAGTAGAAACAAAACAACTAAAATGCTAGAATTCAACCATCTCAATTCATTGCTTGTAGTCACATTTCAAAACTATCCTCTCAGTTAACAAGGCACACTAATGGCTTGGAGGCCCCTCAGCCCCATGTGGCCCTAATGCTGCACACACCTATAAATCCTTTCCTGCTGGGAGCAGCAACATTGACATTGTTGGAGTTGTTGGGGCTTGTAGTCTGCTGGTGTGGCCTTCTTATTCCAATCTAGCACATTACTTTCCTAAAATCCCTTGCATCCTAATTTTGATTTCTCTTGCTGTTGTTTGTGTCTGTCGTGAGTGTTAGCTTTGAGGTAAGTCTTGTCCCCTTCACCCCCGCCCCCTAAATTCTGGCCTTTGGTGTGATTGATTTAAATCCAGTGTTAAATGTTTGAAGACCTCTGTGCCTCTGAGTAACAGTACCCATACCCAGTTAGAATCCATAGTACCTATGGCCAGTCAAATTATTTTGGCATCAGAGGCAAAAACATGCATCTTTCCCCTTCTCTAACTACTAGAGAAGTACAATGGTAATATCTATTGAATTATTTGGCACCATTCAAATATACCAAAAATAGATGGACTCAGGTGGCTGCCTCATTCTTCCTAATGTTAAGGCCAACTCTGATATTGTTTGTCTGTGGCCACATTCACACTATATATTTACAGCACTATGATACCACTATAAACAGTCATGGCTTCCTCCAGGCAATTCTGAGAGCTATAGCTTGTGAAAGGTGCTGGGAGTTGTTAGGAGATCTCTGTTCCCCTCACTCTTAATAAATGTAGCCCTGGATAATTATAGATACCCTGTTTCCTCCCAGAGCTACAATTCCCAGAGCTACATTTAACAATCAATCCCTCTTCCCAGGGAACTTTGGAAATTGTAGTTCTGTGAGAGGAATTGGTGACCTCCTAACAATTCTCAGCACCTTTCACCAACAACAGCTCCCAGAATGCAGCTCACTCTTCATATAATGCTTTTCTTGTGGCAGGTATAATGGAGGCCAATAGCTCTGTTGCTTTTGAAACAATTAAACAAATTATAGGGGGACAGGTTAATCAGAAGCTTTTACCTTTGATAATGAATCATGATGGGGCAGTATACCTCTGAATATCAAATGATTCTTGAGAACAAAAAAGGCAGTGTTGGTCTCACCTTCACATCTTGCTTATGCTGAAACAGAATGTAGAATTCGTTGGGATTTTCTGTGAGCCTAGCAGGGATCTTCCTATGTTCTGATGCCATAGCTAAACCCAGTTTCATCATTCTCATGGCTCATTTTTGCTGAACCTATTTTCTTCCTCTAGCAGATCCCTCCAAACAAATTCCCATGTATACATGCCTCCAATTATTTCCCCCTTCAGATAATTGTTCCCTTAAATATCCATTTCCCAGTTCCTTATTCTTTAAGATCAAAGGAAAGGGCCAAAGGTTAAAGGACAAATCGGTGATAGCGTAACAGGCAGGTGTTCATATCTCTGAATGTATACATTCATAGAAGATGCTGAACTTATTTGAAATAAAGGGGTTATTTTTCACAATAGAAATAGGATTGCAGTTTATTTCTATGATTCTGTACTTTTTGGTGCAGTTGATTTGTCCATGTTACTGGTTTTTAGTGTTATTCTTTTCAACATTTTAATCTTAAAATCCAAGGCACATAAATCTTATTATTCGGCTAGGCCCCTGGATATGAAACGTAATCTAGCAAAACACATCCTTACCTTTAAACACTTGAACAGCCTAGTTTAAAAATCAGTAGGATTTTACTTAAAGATAAGTACATCCTCATTGTTATAGACTGGGATCCTAAGCATACTTTCTGTGAAACTAAGCTCCTTTCAAATCAATTAGGCCTGCTTTTGAGTAAATATATTCAAGATTGAGGTGCCAGGCAGCACTTTCCAGTTCTTAAGCTATGGAACACTTGTTACAGGAAGAGATCTCACCTAGCACATGGTGGGGAACCTGTGACTCTTCAGAGGGTTCTGCCATCATCACTGACCATTAACCATGTTAGATGGGTCTGGGTGGGGGACTGGAGTCTAACAACATCTGGAGAGCAACAGGTTTCCTACCCCTGATCTGAATTCTTCATTGAATACTTTTCACATTAGCTGGATGCTTCAATTTTACACAGTGTTTAAGGGCTGCTGCTACCGTTAGAAAGTAGGAAGAAAAGAAGTGATTTATGAGTTCTGTGGACAAAGAGTTGCAAATCAAGATGTACCATTGAGTTTTCAGATTTGGCCTTTTTAAGTTGCTTGTGCCCTTTGGAAGCGTCTTTGTTGGAAGAAAATAGACTGGTTAGTTATAAAGTTATGAATGTTTAAATACACCAACATGTGATATATTTTTTGTCTTTCCTGCCCCCCTTTAAATCTCAGCTCAAAGTGGAACGGCTTAAAACACTGGTATGACTGTGATGTGCTTTAGCTTTGACTCATTCCTCATAGGATCCTCTCTCTTCCTCAACGCTGCAGGGATTAATGGTGGTAAAAACTTGTAATGGGACTCTTCAGGATTAATGGGAGTACAAATGTGTTTTTTCTCAGTACCTTAAGCAGATAAAGCCTAAAGACATGCAGAGAATAGGCATGCTGACTTTTGGACTTGGATTTCACTCATGCTGGAAGAGGGGCATGTGTGAAAATCTCCCAATAGGCTACACTTGAGGCAAGATGGAAAGAAATAATCAGCACATGATTTAAAAGATTACAGTTTCAAGGTGCGGCTAACAGTAATTCTGTGCTGTCTTTTCCTCTTATCTTGCTGCAGTATTACATGATGGGTTTTGGACATTATATTTCTGTTCTTGTTCCCTTTGAAGCTGCCCATAAGAAAATAGGAAAATGTGAAGCTCCATTATCCTGAGTCAGATTATTGGTCCATTTAGCTCAGTATTGTTTATGTTGACTAGCCGTGGCTCTCCAGGGTTTTAGCTAAGGGGTTTTCTGCCTGGAGATTTCAGGGACTGTGCTCTACTACTGAGTAAAATAAGAGGAGCCCTTCTAAGTCAGACCAAGAGTCCACCTAGTTCAGCTAGCCAGATGCTTCCAGGAAGCCTGTGTAACTAGAACAGTCAACATGCATTCTTTTCTTTTGCTCATACCTGATATTCAGAGGCACACTGTCTCTGTCTCTGAGCCTGGAGATTCCATTTAACTATCGTAGTTAACAGCTGTTGATAGACCTATCTTCCATGCATTTGTTTAACCCCCTTCCCTAAGGGCCGGATTAAACAAGACATTGGTGGCCCAAAATCAGATGTCCTGTCTCTTTTAAAAGCAGCCAAGCATGTGCAAATTTGATCAGGACCACGGCCAGGGAGGAGGGATGTTAATTATTTTCTACCATGCTGTTTGTCCATTTAAAATCCCCTCAAAGCTGCTATTTTCTCTGCTGGGCTAACATACAGATGTCAATGCATTGAGACTCTGACACTCTGTGTAGCAGGCCCTGTACATAGAAATTTTGTGCACTGGAGAATTATTGTAACATATATTTTTGCTCAGGAACCTCAGAACTGTATTTCCCAGTATCTCTGGTGCTGATATGCAAAAACCATTCATTCCTCTCTCACATGATCTACATGGCACATGACATCCACAGCCTGTGTACCAGGTAGGCAGTTGCAGTAAGACTTCACTGCCCTGACCTCCTCACCCTGTTGCCATAATTGCACAAGTGTTTAACATATCTGCCCCCTTATTTTCGCAGTACTTTGTTACTAGCGCTCACTCACGCTCAGTATTTTATCCCTAGTATTTTAATCCATTGGAGATGCAGCAAATTGGTCATTTATATTAACTGGGTCAGTTGGAAACAGCAAAAGAAGAAATGTGTAACTAACTGCTTTGCTTATCCTCTTTTCACATTGGTGCATAGTGCAAAGAGTGGCTTCACATGTTTCCTCCACAGAGAGATTTACGTGCTTCAGATATTGGTAGCATTTGGTAAAATGCTGTATATTTCTGGTGTGCATATTTGTGCTGAGAAGACTGGTGGCCACATTTAGAATTAACATTTTGCATCCGTATTTTATTATTTTATTAATTCCCATAAATGCATCTGCATAAAAAACCTCTTGCCAGAATTTATCACCAACAGAAAATTTATTGAATAGCAGACACCCAGATACCTGCCTTTGAATTATTACAATGAAGTTACATGGAAAACATCACTCAAAATGAACTTTTCAATTCAGAATACAACTTGTAGAATTGGGGTGCTGTTTCAGATGTAACAATGAGGGCTTATGTGATCCCTTATCTCTGCCAGCATGGAGAAGTTTGGAGTTTGGATGCTTTAGTTGAGCTTCCTGCTTTGCATTGGGTTAGACTAGATGATCCTCAGGATCCCTTCAAACTCTACAATTCTATGATTCTATAAGTCTTCAATTTTTATGCAGTGAAGGGATGATGTAGCCTAGCAACAAGGTCAATGTAGAGCCTATGTAGTAACTTGGTTGCAAGAAGCTGCTCTGATCAGAGATTCGATACAGTCAGAGAAGAGGTTGTGTAGTTCTGAATTACTAAACAGTCTAGTTAACGCAGAGATTGCATAAATTTGGATTCTGCATGGAGGTTCAGTCAAGCTACTGAACCTACTATGTGCACTTTACTGCATGTGACGAAATGTGTTGGAAGATTTCTTTGCTAATTAGATCCCTGCTATGATTTTAGCCATTTTAGAAGAACAACCTTCTTTAAACTTGCTATTTTTAGCTTCCTTTTATGTTCTTTTAATCTCAGAGTTCCTTGATAATTATTTCTTTTCTTATTCCCAACTCAGTGATATCACTGACTCCAATTTACAGAGACAACTCTTAAAATCTTGCTGCCAAGCACATGTCATATTTGAGAACACCAGTGCACCAACATTACTCAGGAAGCACTTTGGTTATACGTTTCACCATTTACAGGGAAGAAGTGAAAGTCTCAGAGTTTGCTTTGAGTTCCTGGCTTTGATTCCTCACTTAGGACCTGGTAAAGGTATATCTGAGAGGATGATTCAGAATCTGCATTTCTGAGGGAAATAGTGACGAAAGTTGATGTGTATATTTAAAGCACATGGCTTCCCTCAAAGACTCCTGGAAACTGTAGTTTTGTAGGTGCTGAGAATGATAGCTCTGTGAGAGGTAAACTATAGTTTCCAGAGAAGCCATGCACTTAAGATGTGCTTTAAATGTGAGATGCCCTAAGAAAACTCAGCCAGCTTGGGACTCATGAGGTCTCAAATCAGGATTCTGCTTAACATTGGCTTCTTGAGGAAATCATCTGGAAAAGTTCTTAGAATACACCTCTGCATGGGGTTTCTTCCAGGGATCAGATTTAGAGAGTCACCCACATATATCTTGATTAGGGATTGTGTGGCACTCTGGCAGATTCAATTTCCAATTTGGATATTGCACTCCATTGATGAGGGCAATTATTCAAAATCTACCTTCTGACCAATTTTTACTTTTAATTGTGCAAAAATGGTGTGTGTGCGTGAGAGAGAGAGAGAGAGAGAAAGAGAGAATATGAATGTGGGTTATGTATGAGGGTATGGCCCTTCCCGCTGCTGACGCATGGACTCTGGATGGTTAGCAGTGAGGAAGTGTGGACCTTGGAGTCAGAAAGCTTCCTCCTTCCTGAATTATAGAATCATAGAACAGGAAGGGACTTCAAAGGTAATCCAGTCTAGCATCCTTGATAGGTTACAATGGAGGTCCAGACATCACCATCATCATCATGCCACTTTTCATTCAGTGAATACCAAAGCAATTCACAACAGTAATAACTGCAAGAGACAATAATAGAAAAACCTGAACAGAGGAGAGGTGCAAAGAGCTTTCCTCTGTGACTGAATATGGTGGTGACTGATGCAGGTGCCCTTCTACCACTTGACTGGGGGCGGGGGGGGGGAGATGCCTAAGTAATTTTGTAGTCCTTTCACTTTTTCTGCTCTTTTAGATGTGGCAGCCATATTTTTTTTGTGCCACACTCAATGGCAGCCTTTTTGGGACACACCCACGGAACTTCCTCAAAATTCCAGATATGGCCATTGGCCCCCCCAACATTGGCACCCTCTGCAGTAATCCATACTTCATAGTTAATGTATGTTGAAAACAATACAGGGGGTAACACTTTGAAACTGCAGGGGTTATGCAAGGTCGGGGAAAATAAGGGAAATCAGGTTTGATTTTTTTTAATGCAGTGTTGTCTTACAGCCTTGAGGTGCTACAGCAGGGATGGGAATCTCCAGATGCTGTTGGACTACAATTCCCATCATCTCTGACAATTCGAGATCCTGGCTGGGGCTAATGAAAGTTAAGAGTCAACAAGGCCTGAAGTAGCACAGGTTCTCTACCCCTGCAATGCATTACATCATGAAACTAGTTTAAAACTCCTACAAGATAAATGAACACTGAATTTGGGAAGAGTTTTCTAATCCAGACAGGAAACAAGCATCAGTGATAATAGATAGCACACTATCAACATCATTATGTAGAACATAAAAAGTGGAGTGACAGTTTAGTTGAAATTCGTTGTCAGAGATTCATGATGAGGACATGGTGGATCCTATCAAATTCCTGTCAGAAGGACTATATCAAAAGGGGGTATTGTGGACACACAATGGCTTCTAGTTCACTGAGCAATGTGGTTGCATATCTTGGGACATTCAGCACACTGGAGGCAACATGAGTTATGCATGTCAACATTTGGAAGATGAAATATTCCTCCTTCATATAGACTTCTGTATAGACAGGCTCGACTCCAAGTTTGTTTGGGCCCTTGGTTGCAAGGAAATTGGTGGAACCCCTTCCCCTTGGCCATTTAGTGCCACCCGTAGCTACAGCAATTTAAGCTCACAAAAGGGCAAAAATGTATGAGAACTTACTAAGCTAAATTACAGATGAAGGGAGTTTCTGCCTGTTTTGTTTACTGGCTCTTGTGTGGTTCAGAGCTTTGTGATAGGTAGAGAAGCAACAGGTGCAGCATTTGAGTGTGTGATGCATCAGTGTAGCAGGAAAACATCCCACACTGGATTTCTTGGTGCCCTCCAGCTGTAGCTCAGTGGTAGAGCATCTGTTTTTTGTGCAGACAGTGCCAGGTTTGCTCCTCAGCTCCCTCAGGTAGGCCTGGGAAAGACTTTGAAACCCTGGAGAGCCACAACCATCGTAGATAATACTGAGCTAGATGGACCATTGGTCTGACTCGTATAAGGCAGCTTTGTAAGTTCCTAATAACAACAAACTTCTCATTAGAAGACAATAATGAAAGAAATGAGGGGCAGATCAAGTGGCAAACAAACAAAAGTAAAAGAAAGCTTCTTTTCTTCTCACAAAGGCAGTAGTCTTTCGATTGAACCCCTAAACTTATTTATTTACATTTTACAGAACACACTGGGACCTTCTTCTGAATAAATGTATTTGGGGTTGGGTTGTAGGATTGATTGAGATGTAAGTAACATGCTACAGTTGGGCAGGCATGGCATCTATCAGGCAGGTGAGTGAGCAAAAGAAAATACCGTATTTTTTGCTCTATAAGATGCACCAGACCACAATACGCACCTAGTTTTTGGAGGAGGAAAACAAGAAAAAAAAAATTCTGAATCCCAGAAGCCAGAACAGCAAGAGGGATCGCTGTGCAGTGAAAGCAGCGATCCCTCTTGCTGTTCTGGCTTTTGGGATAGCTGTGCAGCCTGCATTTGTTCCATAAGACGCACACACATTTCCCCTTACTTTTTAGGAGGGAAAAAGTGAGTCTTATAGAGCAAAAAATACGGTAACCCCAGATATCTTATCCACAGTGACTTTCATTAACTCACATTAAACAGGACTTTAGTGAGGGATTTATAAAGACTTAATAATAATAACCAAAATGGTTGATGAAATATTAACCACCTGTTTTTTCATATGTCTTGGCGGTAACCAAACTTCAAATTTCTAGGGTGTTTGGAAAACGATTGAATTGGGAGCTCTGGCATTCTGATAATTGCACAATGCTTGTGTTTGTTTGTTTTTTCTATTTTGAAAAGCTGTATTTTCAAAACTTATCATAGCCACATTCCTTCCCAGCAATCATATTGTTGCCAATTTTGTTGTTTTATTTAGATATTGCTGATAGCACTATGAACATCAGAAATCAATAATATTATATTTAGCTGTTGAAATCAAATATTGCCTATCATGTTCCTTCCAGGAGTTTGAATAAGCCCCGAGGTTATCTGCACCTAACAAAACAGTAGTACTGCTTTATGGAAACTCAAAACCACAGCCTTATACTAGAGCTTAAGTCAGCACTAATTTAGTCCACAGCAGATATGATAAAACTAGACAAAACTGCTACATAAACACCTCCTGCACCAAACATTTAGCCCTGCTGAATATCCCCCAAATGAAAACTTCCTTGTTAAATTGCCATGTAAAATTCTATTCACTGTTTAAAGACAAACTTTAAAAAGCGACACTTTCATTTTAAAAAGCTGCTTCCCCTCTGTGTCTGGAAGAGCAGCTATAGCTAAATAATGCTGTATCTTTTCTTTTTTTGCCTCACGAATAACTTACCAAAAAATGTAAACTGATTCTGATTTTTCCAAGACATTGGCTTCAATTATATGAACTGTAAAAGTATCCTTTGTGTATCTGAAGAAGTGAGCAAGCACACGAAAGCCTATACAAGAACAAACTTAGTTGGTCTCTAAGGTGCTACTGGATATTTTATATATATATATGTTTATTCTTTGGAATGTTACACTTTGATGTTTCTTTAGAACACATTTGTTCTTACTTTTTAAAGTGAGTTCAGAATAATGATTGATGGTTAAGTTGGCCCAAGACATTTTGCTGCCTGAGGCAAAAAAGATGATCCACACACACCAACTGCATGCAGGTGTGGCTTGCCCAGTGGAGCAGAGCTGCCACAATAGCTTCTGGGTAGCAGTATCACTTGCCACACACTGGTAGGGGTGAGGCACCAGCAAGGCTGGGGCTGTGTGGATGCATAGGTGGGAACACTGGATTGGCTCTGCCAGTGTGGCTACACAGCCCCAACCTTGCTGCCATCTTGCCCCTTCCCATCCCTGTAAGCAGCAGTGATGCTGCTATCTGGAAGCTATCATTGCAGCATCACCCTGTCAGGTAAATGCATAGAATTATGAACTGTTCCTGATTCCGTGTTCAGAAGCGGACTGGACTAGCAGTGGAATTCTGCTTCAATATTGGCATCCTCCACTGCACCTGAGGACAACAGGCCTAAGTGCAGGGGTTGCATGACAAGCCACATGGCACACCCAGTTCTGTCTTCCAACAGAGGAGAGAGAAGGGTGTTGAGAAGGAATGGTTGGATGGTGGTGGCTTCCATTGCTCTAATTCCAGCATCTGCCGCCCAGTGGTGGAGTTGGCCATGTTCCCAGAAGCAGTTTTGCATGTGTTCATTCATAAGTGCCTTCTCTCTTGTTCTTCATAAATCTGCATGGAAATCTGCATTCTTTGTTACTTATTTCCTCACAGGACGCACATTTTTTGACATATCATTAGATAAAATATACTTTTTATCCTAAAATATATGATTTTGTGTGCACTTTGGCCTAAAGTACACAATTTAATAGGCTTTTTGGTGGTTCTTTGAGCTGAGAACAGTACCACAATGTTTGGAGGAGTGTGACAACCAAAGGATAACTTTGTTTCAATTTGTACATCTGGTTGCTTGGCTTAAAAAATGCAGATGAAACAGAATTCTTAAGCATTCCTAGTTCAGAACATCTGAGAGTTCCTAAAAACCCACCTTCTACATATGACCTATTAGCAAGAGGACATACCGTACTTGCTTTCCCATGTTGTTCCATTTGAAAGTGTTAAGGTACTCAAACCTGCAATGGGTCCTGAGGCATTCACCCTTTGTGTCATAGGTGGAGAACCTCAGGCCTAGGAGCCATATGCGGTCTTCCAGGCCTATCAGACTCATAGGACTCTCCCTAAGCCACACCCACTCCCTGGTCACATACCCTCTTCACAGACCACACCCCTAACTGGCCCTGCTCCACACCCTCATTGAGTGTATTAGCCTGGGTAGAATGTGTTGTTGAACTCTGGTGATGCCTCGTTCTTGCCTGGAGGGTGGGTGGATGGTGGGGTATGAGCGTCAGTAGAAACTAGCCCACTAAGCAAAGCAAATTTTACATTTATTGATCTGCACACTTTCCCCTCTGGCCCTGCACATCTCTGGCGTGTGGTTTCTGGAAGATTGTCCAGAAGGAAATGCAGCCTTTGGGTGGGAAAAGATTCTGCCTTCTTGCTTTATGTCATCATCAAACTCTGGCACAAAAGAGGATGCCACCAGCAGAGAAGCCTTGTGAATTTTCATAATGGCACTATGTGACAAGATGCAACACCCCCTAAAAGCTTCCGTATTTGGAGTCTTCCTGATGTTTCTGCCACTGAATTGTCTCTGCCTCACCATGCCCAGCCTTCCCTCCAACCTCTAGCTCCCTGGCCTGGCAAAAGTACTATGATGACCTGCTATGCACCAGGCCCTGATAGGCAGCTAAGGCTTTCTGGGGGAAAGAGGAAGTCGCTTTCCTCGTCTTTCACTAATTTTCCCAGTTCTGCTGCAGCAGAGTCACAAATTCTTTTCACAGCCCGCCCTTTTCCTGGCCCTTTAAGGCTTATTGCACTTGCAGGTATTACAGGCTCAAAATGAATTGGTCCAAATCACTAGTTATTAGGGGTAGAAATGAGGCTATTCTTGAGGGGGGGGGATGTTTTCTGATAGAATAATTTCTGTGCAAAAATAAGGCATTTTCTTCAGTCTCTTCCTTCACTCCTCTAGGCCCCATGGGTACGTGAGTGGCAGCTGGTTCCCTTCAGTGTTACAAACACAAAACCTGCAGACTAGGGATGAATATTTATGTGTGTTCCTGTCAAGTTTGCAGCCAAAGATCTCAGAGTTTGGGTATCATATGGATCTTTGCATTTAATTTTCAAGATTTCTCTGCACTGGACTGCAGAGCTAGATCCGGTGCCTGGGGGATGGGAGTGGTTGCAAGTTGCAGAGGTACAATTGACATTGATTGAACAATTAGCAATTCTTTAAAAAGATGCTGGAAGTCATATCTTCAAGATTTGGATTCTACAGCCCTAGGAACATGAGGTGGCTCAGTGTATTGGCAAACATAGGTAAAGGTAAAGGGACCCCTGACCATTAGGTCCAGTCGTGACCGACTCTGGGGTTGCGGGGCTCATCTCGCTTTATTGGCCGAGGGAGCCGGCGTACAGCTTCTGGGTCTTATGGCCAGCATGACTAAGCTGCTTCTGGTGAACCAGAGCAGCACACGGAAACACCGTTTACCTTCCCGCCGGAGTGGTACCTATTTATCTACTTGCACTTTGATGTGCTTTTGAACTGCTAGGTTGGCAGGAGCAGGGACCGAGCAATGGGAGCTCATCCCATCGCGGGGATTCGAACTGCCGACCTTCTGATCGGCAAGTCCTAGGCTCTGTGGTTTAACCCACAGCGCCACCCGCGTCCTATTGGCAAACATACATGAAGCCTATTGTTGGTTATTCCTAGTGTAGAGACACAGCTCGGGCTGAGAGTGCTGGGATCATGGATTTAGCCTGCACTTTATATATGGTAATAAAATGTGGCATGATACTTTGCAACACATGTGATCCCACACCCCTTCCCACACCCACCTACCCACTACTGTGCAGAGTAAAGCACATCTAAGTACTATTGATTTTGGAATGACTTACAGGTACAAAGCCTTCTTTGCCTTTCTAAAAGGTTTTTATTTTGTCCCTTTAGAATGGATTCTTGTGTACTGTGCAATGTACCTTATCAGGCTTCTCATGTCTAAGTTTTTTTTAATGTCCTGTATTCCAGTAAATGTTTTTCCCCCATCCATCTATTAGCAGCACAGAAACACTCGTGCCATCCTCAGTACTCCTTAATGCACATTTCTGCACAGTACTGGTGGGGATTTTATCTACTCTGCCAGCAGAAGGTATTGGTATTACCATAGAAAAATGTACCACCCCTGCTGGTAAGGATCACAGCTATTTTCAAAGAGCTCTAAGTTTTGAACTATATGTACACATTGGCAGTCTGATGTTTTTTACAGTAGGAAGTGATGGTGTATACTTAGGGATGCCATACGTCTGGATTTCCCCAGACATATACGGAATACTTTTCTGTCCAGATTTTCACTGTTTGAAATATGGCAACCCTAGTATACTTTTCATATAACTGCTGTGTCCATGTAAGATAAGTTTACTGTGTGTGCACCACATAGATCCATAGTTTATATGGTTACAAGGAGAGGCGTTGCAAGGTGGGTGTGTTGGGTGCGGTCTGCCCCAGGTGCCACCTCTGAGGGGGGTGACAAAATGCTGTGCGGCACTCCGCATCTGTGAGAGACAGTGTGGCTTTTGCACACACAGGCTTCCCGCTGCCAAAACGTTCCCCAGAAAAGCTCAACAATTCTGGCTCCCCCAAAAAGAGCCAAACCATTATTGCAGGCTGGCTAAATAAATAAATAAATAAATAAATATATATATAAAAATAAAATTCAATGGGGGAGGGGTTACAAGACATTTTCCACACTGGGTACCACTTGACCTTGCTACGCCAATGGTTACAAGTTTGTGGGGTTCCTGGACTCCCCTCCTAATTCTGGGATGCCAGATATTGAATGAGAGACAGACTTTGGTCATCTTTCATCATATGGTGCTCTGTGCAAAGCCAAAATTTGGTGACCCCCAAATGGATCTTCTCAATTATGGATCTTCTCAATTTTGCGCTGTTTCGTCTTGGCACCCTTTGTGGGGGAACCACCTGCACCTCCCTGAATCCGGCGCTGATTGAATTTAGCATTTTGAAAAAGCCAGGGGCCAGCCTGGTGATGGCATACTAATGATGAGTCGTTAGCTGGGACAAAGGGAGTGGCTCAGTGCCAGAGAGCAAATGGGAGGGGCCTCTTTCTCAATTCAGAATTATTTATGAAGACAAACCATTTCTGAAGTAGAGTTTTAGAGTTGGAAGGAGAGCAGTTGTATTCAAGACAAGAGTTTTTGCTTGATGTAAGCAAGAGGAAAGATAGTTGCATTTTCCAAGCTGGCAAAAGCGGGTGTCAGAGCAATGTGGGCTGACTGTCTGAATCCAAGGCAGGACCCTCTCAGTGTGTAATGCTGAAAGCCCCTCCATCATAGCTCAGGTGCTATATATTTGTCAATAAACCATATTATCATAAAGACACCACATTCTCCACCATGCCTCATTCCTAAAGGAAACACAAACCCCGGGTAAGTGCCTGACCCGTGGAATCTTGCACTGCTCAGAGATTGGGGTGGTGTGATATTTTTGCTACAATATCAATATCAGGTTTGACTGTTAAGCAACTTTCACTGTCTCCTTCATTGTGCCCGTTATTAGATTGGCAAAAGTAGCTACTAAGCCACGCAAAATGCCTCTCTGCAGGAGTGAGGAGGGAATTTTCCATTTACTTGAAAGCCCTTGGCATAATTTCCACCTCTTAATGCTGTTTTTGGGCCCCTGGCTTACATCTCAACTCACTTTTCCCACCACTACTTCTCTGTGTATGGATTTTAAGGAGTTTTCGTAATTGTCAGTGCTAAAGTTTACTGCTCATAAAACCCCAGAAAGCATTGATTGTGACTTGGGTAAACCAAGTAGCATATAAAATCTTACAGCAGTTCAGCCTGAAAAGAGTTTTATGAGGGATGAATTTACCAGGAGCAGCAAGGGGCCTGCAAGATGGCTGCCATCCCATTTTCTACCCTTTTCTGCCAAAATAAAATAAGAGGAGTTAGAGTGAGATGTTCTCTGTACTGTAGCCATCAGTTAAACTTTGCTGCCTTTAGATATGGTCTGTTCAATACATTGTGGAATGAGGAGCATCACTTCAAATGAAGGGAGATGCCAGCGGTCCTAGAAAAGATTTGGAAGCATCTTTGAGACAAATAGCTTTGTGAGTCTGCTACAGAAAAAAGTAACCAAGTGTTTTGCGGTACCTGAAAGATTAAAAGGTGTATTATGGCATAAGTCTTAATGGACTAAAATTCACTTTGTCAGATGCATGAAGTGTTATATTCAGTTGTGTGGCCACACATGCACATGTGGGTGGAGGTTATAGATGGAGCCATATTCCCATGAGTTGCATAAAGTGCGGTCTGTGAAAATTCTGTGTGAAGCTTAAGATAAGCTAAGTGACCATTCATAACACAAGTAATTGGGGATAACACAATCACCCTAGCTTTGCTATGTTAATTAACACCTGTTGTAGTCCTGGAAGGTAGAAATTATTGTCTTATAGCCAAAACAGACAATAATTGCATGGATTACAAATTTTTGAAAAATTGCCACCCAGCATGGAAGGAGGGTGTGTGTTTTATTGGAACTACAATGCACAAAAAGGGACAATTAACTATTTCCTCCCCAATCACAGAACACCACCATTAAACTGCAATCAGCATTGGAAGCAAGCTCCATTAGTGCCAATGGGAACCTTTTTGTAATACTAATTGTGGTGGAGGGCCATTTTTGTCAGACTCATGGGTGGGGAAGGATTAAAACTTTGCCGTCCCAATGTAAATGATTAAATTCCATACAAGTATTGTTGGGATATCTGAGAAATGAGACAGGACCAAAGCAACTAGATCCTCTAGGTAATTTCTGTTCCCATTTTCCATTTCAATCATCTCTGGTTTAGTTTCATTCCTCATTTCATTGTCAGTTCCTTCTAATCTTGTCAATTTTGTATCTATTTTTCCTCTAATACTTCTATTTTTCATTAAATGACTTTTGTTTGCTCTGTAACCATCTTCTAATGTCCACAGTAAGCAAGGACCCTGAAGATCTCATTCTTTCTTGCAGTTCTTCCATAAGATCAGGGAAAAATTGCAATACATTAGAACATACAATAATTTGAAATACTAAAACAGCTTAAATTTCACATTGTGGTATGTTCTGGGTATGAACTAGGACAATGTAGAGATATGAGAGGTGTTCAGCATTTTTTCAGTATACAGTGGTGATTATGTATATGACCATTACCAGACACAGTATTTGCCCATAGTGAACCTGGTGCATGGAATGCTCTTGTCTCATCTCGATGGTGGGGTCAAAACTTATTGAAGTGGAATTTCTCAAGGGTCTTCTGACTGGGTCTGTATAATGATGTCCTCATGAAGAGGAGGGTACAGAAGCTTGAAGAAGTGTTGTTCTGAATCAGCCACAGAGCATATTATTAAACAATGTGAATACTCACAGCAGTGCTTTTGACTGGATGATGTATGGAAACTGTTCAACATATCAAATTAAGACGGGGATTAGAATCCCCTTTACTCAAAATCCATTATGTGAAGAAAGTGAAGGCAGCAGAGGGAATTAACGCAGACATACTTATTCTGCAGGGGGCTTGTGGATATGGAAAATACTTCCCAGAAGTATTTGTAAACTTCTGTCTTCCCCTTTAGGAAAATGTGCAAAACATTCTTAAGAAATCATTATCTTGCATTAACGTTTTTGATTCATGAACTTATAACTTGAAGCTCTTGCAATAGATCATACTCTTTCTTTGAGAAATTATTTCCATAAAATGCTATAATGTTTAGTAGAAAGACGAGTCACTGTATTTTTCCAATTCCACTTCAATGCCAGGCAATTTTAAATTTACATAAATTAAAATGGATGATACATGTGGATCTCACTGATTTAGATTGTAGACCAGATGTAGACAACCTCTGGAGTTCCAGATGTTGCTGAAGGTCAACTCCGATCATTCCTGGTCACCAGCTCTGCTTGTTGGGAGTTGAAGTTCAGCAACAGCAGGGGCGGCGGGGGGGGGGGGGCAAAAGTTCCCTACACCTGTTTCAGACCATGCCAGCTTTCAGAGAATCATTAGGACCAAGTAGGCTTTCAGATGATGTGGCTAGTTTTAGTTCCAGTGTAATTATGTTGCTCCTTCTGTATCAGCTGTATTTTTCTGTATTCTTTATTTATTATTACCTTTGGGTCCCAGAAGAGAATTGCATGTAAAATGTCGGTCATGATCATGAGTGGAAGGGAGTTTCTATATACTAAAGACTCATGAGGTTGTATGTAATATAGTGTACCTCTGTTTACAAACATGCATTGCACTCCCCACTGCACACACAATGAGACCCCAACAAGTATGAGCTAGGCCATTCAGTTTTGGGGAAGAGTTTTGCCCTCTCACTGTACCAATATCCTCAAATGCAGCAGTTTACTTTCCTCCCTAGAAAAAAATTTGGCAGCAATCAATTTATATAGGAGAAAGTAAAAAGGTGGACTAATGGATATTGTTATGCATGTCTAAACTTGCTCCCTGACACTGGTAACGCCAGTGGACTCAGCCAATGGGAATCGTGAGCATTCTACATAGAATCATAGAATGGTAGAGTTGGGAAGGACCCTGAGGATCATTTCAGTCCAACTCTCTGCAATGCAGGAATATACAACTGTTCCATATGGGGAACAAACCTGCAACCTTGGCATTATCATACTCTCTAAGCAACTGAGCTATCCAGGATGTCTAAGCCTACTTATACTTGCATAGCTGCATCTCTTCGTCTACACACCACTATTATAAGTTAGAATGTTCTTTTGTGTGTCGATTTTTTAAAAATGGCTAGTCATTCCGTCTGCCATCTCAGGATTGGCAAGCACATTTGAAGATAATTTCAACAGTGTAGTAGAAAATATTCTTCTATTTAGGGAAATATTTTGTTCTGTGTCAGCTTTAAAACAAATATTACAGTTGAAATACATTCTATGTGGTTGCAAATGCAGCAGGTGATTTCACTGTTTCCGCTGCTTTGGTTTTGATAGTGGAATTGCTGTACTGCTTTTTAATTCAGCCTCTTGTCTCTTTGGCAGTATAACGTGTTACAGTGAAAATATCAAATAAAGCTACTGCATTGTGCATGGTTCTCCTTCATGAACATGTATAGCTTTCTTGGATTACAGTCCTTATGCATGGCATGCTGTGGCCTGGTTCCAACATGCCATTAAAGCTCTGAAATAACTACCAACTTGATATCCCAGAAAATCTGGTTCTCTCTCAAATAACCACTGAGAAAACAACTTGAGAGCTTTTCTTTCTCTCTTTTTCTCCAGTTCCAAAACCCAAATGCTTTCTCGCCACCTTTCCGCTTTGGGACAGTTCCTAATGGCAGTACAGAGAGGAACATTCGCAACAATTACGAACTGATGCACGCCTACATGGTGAAGTTCAACCAAAGATCGGTGGGAGATGCGCTATCCTCATTAAAGACAGGGTGAGATTGCCTCTTCCCTAAAGAATAAGGTTGCTAATGTAAACCTGTGTGTGTAATTCTCTTGGGATTTTGAAGAACCTTCTCCCTGATATTCCTGCTGCTAAAACATTGCGTATAATCCATGTACCACAACGTTGTCAAGAACAATTTATCTCATCCATTATTATTATTTTTTGTTCTTTTCGGCTAGATATGTGCAAGTAATATAACAATGATTCTTCCCCTTCTTACATCAATGCAGACTTTCTGAAAAGCAGATTAGCTGCTGGAAATATTGCCTTAAGATGCAATGCAATAGTTGTGGCTAGACATCACCTAAAATTCTTTATTATTGAAATAACTATGATATTATCTTAATCCCTAATGTTAATTGCTATATAAAAATATTAGTAAGCTGGGGATCCTAACCACTATTATATGAGGGCTGCATCTTTTCCATGGTAAACACACACATACTATACTTGTGTAAACTCACAGGTAGCCCTATTCCATTGATTCAGCTTGTGTTCTGTATCAGCGTATAAACTGGGAGCAGTACTACACTGACTAACCTTGCTCTTGATGTCACATGTGTTTTATGAAGGAGTCTAGATCATCAGTGACAGAATAGCAATCTTCTGAGGAAAAACCAGTTGTGGAGAATCACTTCACCTCTTTGGGGTCTTCTATGTTCAATAGCTGTCATTTTTGCATACAACGAATATATTTCCATTATGCCTTTGGCATCTGCACATAAAGCACAAATGTCTGCAAGGAAGAGGCCTTCACATGTCACGCTGTGCCTCAAAGGCTTCCTCCCTGCAGATGTGGATACTAGGGTACAGCTAGTCAGTGCACATTTTATAATGGGAGAGGGTAAGGGCCCCACTTATGCTTTGCTGCAAGGCATGATTCAGGTTGCCTGAATAGAACTTTTAAATTATTGTGTGCCAGGGAACCATAACTGAACCATTTTGCAAAGGCTCCATACAACTTCTGCACCTATGTAAATGGCTTGCCATGTTATTTCTCAACAAATTTCTTTTTGGGGGCAGCTGCTGCTGTCCCAGAAACCTTCTGACCCACCTGGCGAGCTATGATTTTTCCATTACATTTGAGGTTATTAATTCCTATCTCTCCTCTTCCTCCTCTACATTGCCCAGAAATCAGATTATTCTACTGGTGGAGGGAGGACTGCTTATACACAGTTTGTTCCCTGGAGAATGCAAATTAAAGTTTTTATTTGTCATGCTAGGCTGCTACTCACCTGATAACCTGGAACAAATAAGGATAATTTCCAGGTGACCAGACAGGGTAGCTTTGGGTCTATTTTTCTTGTTTGAGGGGGAGGGGAAGGGAATATCACTATGTCACCCTTTCTACTCATATAAAGACAAACTACACATTATGTAAATCCATGTGGAAATATTTGAGCAATGAAGACAGGAAATGCTTCATGGTGCAACAGAACAAGGCAGCAATTCTATCATTGAATGCTTCAAAATGTAGCTGGTGCAAACACACACTTATTGCTGGGACTAGTACAGTGGTGCCTCGCAAGACGAAATTAATCCATTCCGCGAATCTCTTCGTCTTGCGGTTTTTTCGTCTTGCGAAGCACGGCTATTAGCGGTTTAGCGGCTATTAACGGCTTAGCGGCTTTAAGAAAAAGGAAGCAAACTCACAAGAACTCGCAAGATGTTTTGTCTTGCGAAGCAAGCCCATAGGGAAATTCGTCTTGCGGAACGACTCAAAAAACGGAAAACTCTTTCGTCTAGCGAGTTTTTCGTCTTGCGAGGCATTCGTCTTGCGGGGCACCACTGTAATTTATTTTTCCAATTGGGCACTGATTCTTTTTCTTCTTTCTTTCATTTGAGGTTAGTGGGACACCATAAAGCTAACGTTACTGCCCTCATAGGGAGACATAACTTGATCTCCTAACCACTTGTCATCTTTAAAGATGCCTATGGGATTCTTCCCATAAGCAGGGGTCCTGGCTGAAGCTAATTTGAATAATTACATTTTGGTTAATGCTATCTTTCCAGCTGCTTGGTTGGGGAAATGGTCTGCTTTGCTTTCTTAATTCACAACATAGTTACGGTAGAAATGCTGCTGAATTCACAAGCTGAAGAAGAAAGTGTTGTTCAGTCATAAATGAAATGGTTTACATGGGCTGCATAGGCATCTTTAAATCAAAGTTAACTAAATTGTGGCCCTCCAAATGTTGCTAAACTCCCATCATCTCTGACCATTGGCCATACTGTCTGTTTAGATCCATTGGAAGATGCTGCAGATTTGTGTGGTGATGCTACAACCTGCCTTCATCTCAATGCTGATTGTGCCCAAGCAATTGTTCAGCCTGGCTTCCTCTGTGTTTGGTTACCTGAGGTCACATGGGAGTTCTCAACTTCCTTCAGCATCACATGATTTAGGTCTGCACAGACTCTTCTCTTTACTTCATTCTCTCTTGTTTCTTGACATCATGCAGGAAGCTGGATGCTTTTATTTATGATGCAGCTGTGCTAAACTACATGGCTGGCAGAGATGAAGGCTGCAAGCTGGTGACAATTGGGAGTGGGAAGGTCTTTGCTTCAACGGGCTACGGCATTGCCATCCAGAAGAATTCAGGCTGGAAGCGGCAAGTGGATCTGGCAATCCTACAGCTCTTTGGTGATGGTAAGTGATCTGGATGAGGAACTAGGAGTGCGTCTCCATTGAGTGAAGCTATTATCCCCTACTTACCACTAATGCTAAGGCAAAAGCAACAACAACTAGCCGGCAGCAATGCTATCATTTTTTTGTTACTCACCCGTACTATGAACTTCTGGTGTATTGTGGCTATTCTACTTTGTCGCTATTATTTATTTATTAAAATTAACTTATATGTGGACCCACCACCCCACTGCCCCAGTATAGTTTTCCGGCTAGGTAAATCCAACATAAGTGGCAATGAAATTAGAGGACTGGAGGGTTAGGGAGGATCAGTTCTATTTTTCTAGAAAAAGAGGTGCCAGAACTCACCATGAATGCCTCCCTTGTTCTCTTAGAATGGCAATGGCACCCACCAGAGAGGTGCTGGAACTGAGCTCCAGTGAGTTCCAGCTGAAAAACAAGCCCTGGGCAGCATCTTTCCTTTCTAAATAGTGGCTCATGAGAGGAAAAGCTGTGCTTAAAACTCACCCACTGTTCACTCTGCTTCCTTCCCACCCATCTTTTCCAGGTGAGATGGAGGAGCTGGAAGCTCTCTGGCTCACTGGCATCTGCCATAATGAGAAGAACGAGGTAATGAGCAGCCAGCTGGACATCGATAACATGGCCGGAGTCTTCTATATGTTGGGAGCAGCCATGGCCCTCAGCCTCATCACCTTCATCTGTGAACATCTCTTTTATTGGCAATTCCGCCACTGCTTCATGGGCGTTTGCTCTGGCAAACCTGGCGTTGTCTTCTCCATCAGCAGGGTGAGTACTTTCAGCCTCAAGGAAATAAAGCCACCATCACGACCGTTCCCTCCATCCAAGCCAACTTAGGCTTGGAGTTTTATTATTTTGCAATTTTATCTACTATGCTTCTAGACCTCAAACTAGCCTTTCTCATTACTTCCCCTTGTGCCTATGGCTGTCATTTCTGGCCTCTAGGTAAGAGGCATTTGGCCTTCAGAGAGAAAATCTAGGAAAAGAAAATGGAACTTTGAAAGGTTGGGAAAATCTAAATTCTTGGGACAGTGGCCTCAGCCACTTCTTCAACAAGGTGTGAAAAGGTTTTCTGTAATTCTTGGTAATTTATCTGAAAGAACAAGAGCATCCTTGCTATGCAACAGGTGGAAGCCACCTGTTTCAAGCAGCACTATAAGAGGAGCTTGAATGAAGGCAGGACCTGGTCTCTGAATGGTACAGCAAGACTTTTTCAAGTGTTGGTTCAGGGGTTGGAAAGTGGCCACTATTTCAGCTTTGCTTCAGAGTAAATGTCTTGGAGAAGCATAATGAAAGACTCAAAACAAGAAGGGGGGTTTCTTTGGAGCAGAACATTGTGTAGAACTCTGACTTTTAGGTAACTCCCCCCTCCCATGTTTCTGAGTAGATTTTACTGACAGAAACAAAGGACACTTAGATCAGAAACTTTCTCTCTAGCAAATAATTTCTGTATGAATTTCCTTGAATTCCAAAATTCTTTCCCTTTCATTATTTCAAATATTATTATTTATTTAGTAGATTTTTTTTTATCTCCCTTCAGCAGTAACAATCTCATGGTAGCATACAATAGCTACACAACAAATTGTCTCTCTCTCTCTCTCTCTCTCTCTCTCTCTCTCTCTTTCACTCACACTCACAAACACACAATTATATTACTACATTAAAAACATTAAAACAGCAGCTATCATTAGATCAGAGCCTGAAAAATCCAATTATTTCCAAATGCTTGCAGAAAGAGATGAGTTTTCAAAGTAGCAAAAACTAAACAATTAAGGGGCAAGCAGAACTTCCTGAGGGGTGGCATTCCATAGCCAGGGCACCACCAGTAAGAAGGCCCTGCTACTAGTTATCACTCCAATTCTTGAGCTGTGGAAAACATACAAGAAAGTTCATTTCTCTGTCCAGTTAGAGATTATGAACTGCACAAGGCTGCATTGACAGATCTCAGCCAATATTATTACATTGTGTGATGCTGCACTAAGGAATCAGATGCTCCTGCATAAGCTGCCTTTTACTTAATAAATTTATCAGTTTGAGTTCCTAGGATTAAAGATGATTTGGAGGTGACAATGTAAATGTTCATTGTTAAAATGTGGATTTTTTCATCATTACTTTCTTTGCTTAACAGACTAGGCTCTTAATTGTAAAACTCTGATCCATTTTTAGGATGCTTTTAAAATGCGGAATTCTTTGACCAGAAAAGTCAAACTCAGACAAAGTATTAAGACAGCATAATTCTGGTTGGGAAAATCTATTTTGTACAACTTCCTAATTTATACAATTCTTTAACAGGACTAGGGAGAAAGAGCTGGAACTCATACAGCAATTGTGGGTCAGAGTCTGTAATCAAGATGAATAACAATGACTAGAGGCTATGCAGAGGGTCAGGAAACTGTGCCAAGTGAACCAATATGTTGTACCTCTAAAAGTCATGTCCTGACAGCCTCAAATTTCTGACTGGTTATATGTTTCCTCAGACCCGTTTCCAAAATCTGTAAGCTAAAGAATATTTGCAAAGGAAGGAGTTGGACTCATTTAGGTATTCTAAGTAAGAAGTATCACATTGAATCACGCCTAGAAACTAAATGTAAACAAGTGCTGTGGATCAAAGGCTTGTCTAATGGCCTACCTGCAGTAGTTGGAGATTCAGAATAATCTCATGTGCATGATTACAAACTGTCTGAAGCGCTTACCAGGGCATTGGAAAACAGTGATCAAATCCTGCAGCTAGTGCTTAAGGTGTAACCTTAAACAGTACTCCTGACCACAGCACTCTGAGCATCTGATCTGTAAGAAACATCTGCAACCATGTCTAAAAAAACCAAACCACTTCAATAAAGGTCTGAATAAATTTCTAGATTTATTGCAATTTAATAATGAAAGGGCAAGGGATAGACGGGCAAAGGTGGAGGAAGATTAAAAGTGGAAGAACCATTATGATAGTGTCTAGATTGTCTCATCTCCCAACGATATCCCACTGAGGATCCTATTTAGCAAAGGACAAGGTTCTTTGTCTCAGTCCTCCAAGCTCTGCATCTCCCCTGCTGGAATGCTCCTCTGCTAACCTCCCTTTGCTTTCCCCCATTGCAGGGTATTTACAGCTGCATCCATGGAGTGGCTATTGAGGACCGCCATTCTTCCATGAACTCCCCCACTGCCACCATGAACAATACCCATTCCAACATTTTGCGCCTGCTCCGAACAGCAAAGAACATGGCAAACCTTTCAGGTGTCAATGGCTCACCACAAAGTGCCCTGGATTTTATCCGTCGCGAATCCTCTGTCTACGATATCTCTGAGCACCGCCGTAGCTTCACTCACTCCGACTGCAAGTCTTATAACAACCCCCCCTGCGAGGAAAACCTCTTCAGTGATTATATTAGTGAGGTGGAAAGGACCTTTGGTAATCTGCAGCTGAAAGAAAGCAATGTTTACCAAGACCATTATCATCACCACCATCGCCCCCATAGCATAGGGAGCGCCAGCTCCATCGATGGACTGTATGACTGTGATAATCCACCCTTCTCCGCACAGCCTCGATCTCTCAGTAAGAAGCCATTAGATATCGGTTTGCCGCCGGCCAAACATGGCCAGTTAGGTGACCTTTATGGCAAGTTGTCTTTCAAGAGTGACCGATACAGCGGTGGAGGGGCACATGACGATTTGATCCGTTCAGATGTCTCGGACATATCGACTCATACCGTGACTTATGGCAACATTGAGGGCAACGCTGCAAAGCGGCGAAAACAGCAGTATAAAGATAGTCTAAAGAAGCGGCCAGCCTCGGCCAAGTCACGGAGAGAGTTTGATGAGATTGAACTGGCCTATCGCCGGCGTCCCCGTTCCCCTGACCACAAGCGCTACTTTAGGGACAAGGAAGGGCTACGGGATTTCTATTTGGACCAGTTCCGGGCTAAGGAGAACTCACCGCACTGGGAACATGTGGATCTGACGGATATTTATAAAGAGCGGGGAGATGACTTCAAGCGTGACACTATAGGGGGAGCAGGGACATGTACTAACAGGACCCACCACAAACACGGGTCGGGGGAGTTTGGAGCAAACAATGAGCACAAGCACAGTGTTGTGAGTGGGGTACCAGCGCCATGGGAGAAAAACCTCACCAATCTCGATTGGGAGGAACGCCCTGGCGCTAACTATTGCCGCAGTTGCCCATCAAAGCTGCATAACTACACTCCGACTGTGGTGGGGCAGAATTCCACCCGCCAGCCATGCATCCGGTGTGAAGCCTGCAAGAAGGCCGGAAACCTCTACGACATCAGTGAGGACAACTCCCTTCAAGAGCTGGATCAGCCATCTGCTCCTGTGCCCGTGGCAACCAGCACCTCCACTACCAAGTATCCTCAGAGCCCTTCCAACTCTGCCTCCAAGGTGCAGAAGAAGAATCGCAACAAGCTACGCCGGCAGCACTCCTACGACACCTTTGTGGATCTGCAGAAGGAAGACGCCGCCCTGGCCCCCCGCAGCGTCAGCCTGAAGGACAAGGGCCGCTTTTTGGAGGGAAGCCCCTATGCCCACATGTTTGAGATGCCAGCCAGCGAGTCCACTTTTGCCAACAACAAGTCCTCAGTGCCCGCCACCAGCCACCACCACCACAACAATCCTGGCATTAGTGGTGGTTATATGCTCAGCAAGTCGCTCTACCCCGACCGGGTCACTCAAAACCCTTTCATCCCCACTTTTGGGGATGACCAGTGCTTGCTCCACGGCAGCAAATCCTATTTCTTCAGGCAGCCTGTGGTGGCAGGAGGGCCCAAGGCCAGGCCAGACTTCCGAGCCATTGTCACCACCAACAAGCCGGTGGTCTCGGCCCTCCATGGGGCTGTGCCAGCCCGTTTCCAGAAGGACATCTGTATAGGGAACCAGTCCAACCCCTGTGTGCCTAACAACAAAAACCCCAGGGCTTTCAATGGCTCCAGCAACGGGCATGTTTATGAGAAACTTTCCAGTATTGAGTCTGATGTCTGAGTGATGGGGAAAAGCATGGGAGGGGATGGTGCTGGAAATGCAACGTGTGGGAGGGGCAGGTGGTGGGTTCAGACCTAGTTCCCATTTGCTACTCTTCTGCTACTCTTTTTTTCTTTGTGGAGTATTGGAGTTCTGCTTAGGCAGCGCTGATGCGAAGTGCCACCTCTTTCTTTCCCCAGATCCCCCATCCCCAATGATCTCTTTTCATTTCTCCACTCACAGTTCCATTCCTGGCCATCACATGTCAGAGCTTAGTAGCTTAGCTTGTGTTTTCACAGTTGGGAAAGGCAAAGGCATGGTTGAGGAGAGGCCAGCATACGAGTGGGAGCAATAGCCGCAGAGTTTGGGGTTTTCTCGGCGCCAAACTGTGATGGTTAGTACAGATACAAGAAGGTGGCCTGAGGCGGAGAATGGAAGAGATAGAATGGGCATGAAGAAGATACAGGTCTTCTTACATATGTACTTTTAAGCAAAATTGATGGGACGTGAATAGTGTGGGATCAACTTAATGCATTTTATGTTGATTACATGCAAAAAATCATTCAGTTCTTTTGTGAAGACTCTGTGGGTTAAAGGCTGAAATATGGAGTTGCATATATACATATACATATATATATATACTGAAGATAAAAATGTATTGAAATCTTGGTATATTTACCAGGGGGAGGGGAGGTTTGATATGTATGCAGATCTAGCCAGTAGACCAGTCAACAGTAACCCAGTGAGGTCACTTCTGAAAGACGAATTGGAATGATAAAAGCGAATGCCAGTGAAACTTTCAGCAAAAGTCTTGGGAAAATTCAAATGTTGGGGTCCCAGGGGAGGTTTTGTTGCAGGTTTTGTGCTACTCATGAACAACTTGTTAATTTTGAAATGGTGAAATATCAAATATGGGTTGGTTTATGCACAAGCTTAAATGTGAAAATTAATTGACATGAACCATCATAACAACATGAGTTTCTTATCGCTACGATATTTAGTAGACAAACCCAGCAGAGCAAACCTTTCCAATGCAAGGGAACATAAAGGGCAGTGAATGAAAAGAAGAGCAGGGCTGGCAACTCAAGCTCCACAGTTGTTCTGATGAATTTAATCTGGCAGGGAGAAGGCTCAGCCATTGCTCCCTCCTCTAGCATATCATGCAACACGAGCAAGATGAATAATGGAAAGGCTTTCTCTGCTGATGTTGTATTTCCTCTGAGTAGAAAGTAGGAAGAAGGCGGTGGTGGTGGTGGTGGGAATAGGGCCAGCACAACTCAGACATGTGTATATGTGTATTTATTGAATATATTCTTATATTTGATAATTATAGTGTTGTGGAAATACACGGCTTGTCTTCCACAGGGCATGAGGAGATGAATCATCAGATCCTACTGATGCTGTGGTGACGACTGGAGAGCAGAGTTGGAAAGATGTGGGGAATATTGTTGTGAAGGGGGCCGGCAGGTTCAAAAGTGCAAAAGCGGTATCACTTAGCATCTTGAGAGTTGTTCTGGCCCTGTCCTCAATGCATATAGTACTGATAACAGCAGTTTGGCTACCAAGGAGGAATAACTGTAAATGCAAGTTAAAATGAGACACTTGTTAGAAGCGATATTGTTTCGTTTACAGCAGGAACCCTCAGGTAAGGGCAACAGGTCCATTGTTGCTTCCCAAAAATGTGGCAAAGCACCTCACTTTTTCATGGGTCTGTTGTTCTGCTTTCCTAACTGGAAAGGACTGTGAAAAGTGCTCTTCGGCTATCTTGGGCACATTGCAGTAGAACTGAACGCATGGACAGGCACAGGCCCTGAGCTTTGGAAGCAGCCATTCTTTTTCGAGCCACATTTCCTGCAGCTGATTCTCTTCTCATGTATCCTTCCAACCATACCCTACTTGGCTTTATCTTAATACCTTTCTTGCATTTAAGCCAACTGAAGGCCTTGTTTTTTTGGTAGGCAGAGGCCAGGAGGAAGGGCCTGAACATTTTGTGAAATCGGATTCCCCCACCTCCTCTGGATTTACTAAGCAAGTTATGGAAGGAGGGATGCCCTCTCTATGGTTGGAGGAGTAGAACGCCTTTTTGTTCCTCTCTTCTTTCTCCTGTAAAGAAAATAATGCTTGCTTAGCAGTCTGCAGAACATGGAGTGAACCCTCTGACAAGAGCAGTTGAGAAGGCATTCATTTCATTTGTAAATATGGTTTTCTTTTCTATTACATTTTGTACAAACTAGTGCTTCTCTTCTTGTGAATATTCAGGTTTGGAGAGAAGAGGGATTTTAGGTTGTCCTCCCATCCCTGCAACTTTCAGGCGATGTGTCTGGAAGTTGTTTGATGTGGGCCCAGGCTGTTAAAAATGGGGGAGAAGGAGAGAAAACTGCATGCATTGAATACCTCTATCTACACACCTGCCACCTTTTTTCTTCATGGTTCGAAAATATATTAGATCACCTCTAGCCTTGCTAGCAGGGCTTTCATGTTCTAATGGAAGCACACTATATCTCCCTTGCTTGATTCTAAACTCCATACCATAACCCTTCTCTGGAATCTGGGTCCTGGGCATTGTGCTGTTTTCCCTTGGTGATGAAGCAAACCATCATTTTGAATGTTCAGTTTAGATCATCACCCAACACTACAGGGACTTCTCCAAAGTTAATGTTGGCTTGGAAACCTTGGGACTGGGAAATCTCAGTTTACTAGTACTTCTTAAGGTTTATTAAGCAGCTGGGTTTGATCCTACTGATTAAGCCTGCCTTTGGCAGCTATGTCAGTATTCCCATCCCTCAGCTGAAACCAAATACAGTTGAGAATGGTACTTCGGAGAAAATTAAACTGAAAAACAAACCAAAAAGATGCTAACTGAACTCTCAGAATGATTCCAGATCTTTGTTTTGGATGACGGTTCACTATGGTTCACATTTTCTTATAACCTTTTTCTCTGACCCTAGCTCAATTTAAACGTTGAATGACATGTTTACATTTATAGTGTTTAGGTTTGATAATATTAAAGTGCTTTACAAATTTTAATTTGCGTGCACAGAGTGTGAAAATTGTCTGCTTAAGGATAACAGGAAATGTTGGAGGACTTTCAACAATCCATTTGCAGGTGTCTTGTGTATTGCCTTGACACATGAAATGAGCCTCTGGCTTTCTTTCCCCTTCTCTTTCATTTGAAACATACATTTTTCTTTCTCTTGAAATTTGACCAAGAGGGAAAGGGTTGGTTGGATCACACACACACACACACACACACACACACACTTCTTGGAACACTGATTACAATTTTGTAATTTAAAATTCCGAGTGTTATTTCACTAAAAATAATTGAGTGAACATAACAGGAAATTTTAGCAGCAGGTGCTGTTTATGCTAGAATGGAGGCTGTGATGTTGGTTGCTTAACTTGCCAAAAAAATACATGAGACTTTGTACGAGAGGCCAACAAAAGTGAATGTTTATCAGCTCAGAAACCCAGTTTCTTCTTCCTCTTAGAAAAATGGGGTGTGTTCCTAATATTGCTGTCATTTCATAACATTGATTCCCCCCACCCACCATGAACTAAGGGTGTTTGTTTTGCATGGGTGAGTGGTTCTGTACCTGAACATACATAATGTAACTGGTATGGTTTTTTTTCAGTCTGGCATATCTTGCCATTAATGTCTTTTGGGAGGATATATTGAAATACTTTCTAAATGCTCATACTTCTGGAGCCATGGCAATATGTATGTAATAAATGTTATGGTATAAAGGAGGAAAAGATGGGGTGGGGTGGGGGAATGGCAGACTTCCCATGCTGTTAGACATCAGTATGGCATGCTGCCGGACCACTTATTCTGGCATTCTTTAATGGAGGTGGTATGTCTGCCAATGTAGCAATACACCATGTTATGTTATGTTATATCCTGCCATAATGTGTGGTGCTCCATAAATTTGGTGAGTGGGGTATTATGCATGACACAAACATATCAAAGAAAATGGGTTGTCCCTGCATCAACACTAATCTACAGGTTTTTAAAAGTATACTGCCCCTCTCCATCCCCACCCCATACTCCCTTGCACATGTAAATCAACTAGTATCTCTCATACTTGCCAAAATCCAACACAATCCCAATTTGGGCACAGGTATTCTGGCAGTTTCTTACAACCCACTTCCTGCCACTGGGAATTCTTCTTCAGATTCCTTTAATAAAAATCTACATCATTCCTAAATACAGTCATCGTTAGGATAATCAGAGGCTAGTTGCACAGAGGAACTATTTTGTTCCAGGATGTTGTCAGAACAAACATGTATGCCTCATGAGTTTGCTTAGATCAAGCATGGCCGTATCCCTTCTTGTCCAAAAGAGCTGGCAGCCTATATTCATGATTGTACTCCGTATTGCCCACCTGCTCCCAAATGGGGCTTGTGTTGGTTTCATTCCATCACATCCATCAGATATATGCGCATGAAGCTACCTGAAAGATCGGGCCCTGAAGTTCCTGGCAACAATAGAAGAGGACCTCAACCCCTCAAGCTTGCATTTTGCATCCTCTCCCATAAGTGCTTCCCTACAGTTACATATTGAACATACCAGGTCTGTCCAAGTGGAAAACGTCCACTCTACTTCTGGACGCTGCTCGAATATGAAGAAAGTAATTAGTGGGACACTAGCTTTGTCCCCCAAGGGCTTATTTCCAGTTTGTAGCCAAATAGGCTTCCAAGCCATAATTCTGTTCTTAATATTCCCTACACCCTCACCACTGGAAAAGTTGGTTAGGGTTATAACCGCCAGTTATAGATCCAGACATATAGCATCATTTTCATTATGGATGGGTTTCCATTTCTGGCACCCATCCAGACAAACTTCAAACTAAACCACCACATTTTAAAAACTTTTATTTTAAATACTTTGAAGGCCCGCCCTTTCCAGCCTCTGAATGTTACCAAATTCCCTTTATTGTTGACAATAATGTGAATTAGTGTAGAGTACATCTTGACAAAATTAGAATATTCTCTATTAGCAAAGTCCAGTTAAAAACAACAAAGCAGTGCTATGAAGATTGAAGATCACTTCACACAACCAGACCAGCTTGGTGATACACCAGTGAGCCAAGGAGGGGCATAGACAAAGGGCACCCCCATAAGCTTCAAATTAAATTGCCCTCCTCCATGATGTGTTGGTGGAGTGAGTGGATCCGGGTTCAGGTCTGCCCGTGCTAAAGCTTAATACCATACCCAGCTCACATGTCATGCCATCTGCGAAGCTGTGGGGTATGCAACGATTTGACCACATGTCAGACTGAGCTGGATCCATTTGGTCAGCAAGCCCATCATGCCAATTCAATCATCTGAACTGGGCTCAAGATAAAATCTGTGTTATCAGTTATTCATAATTTAATTTATTTAACCTATCACAAGTGGTTGTAATGAATACCACAGTCAAGTTCTTGGAAGGTCCGACCTATTCCATACTGAGTTAACTGCATTTCTTTCATAAACACTGGTGTTTGTGTGTACACACACACACCACATACTAAAAAGCTGAATAATATATATGTAGGTCTCACATAACTTCAGCAAAAAGCCTGAGTATGTATGGACACATCTCAAACATCAAAATCAATATATTTCAGCAAACATTTTTGACTCTTTTTAGTCACAATAAAGCATTTTATCAAAGCAGAAACAATGCAACATTTCCTGACATTGTTTTTAATGTTATGTATTCATGTTGTGCCATATATATCATCCGCTTATTTGATTGCGGTTATATGTAAATATAAGTGTACATATGTACAGGAGCTAATTACAGCAGCTATATTCAGGTTGGGGGAAGAGGGTAATTTTTTTATATGTACAGTATTTCCATATTAAGCAAAGGCATGGGGAAGGGGGAATTGACTTATGAGTTGTGGTTTTCCTTGGTCTGTGGTGTTTGAAGTTGTTTCAGTGGTTGCTTTTGCCAGTTTGGGAAGTTTATCTGGATGTTCTATGTGTGTGCTAAGAAAGGGACTCATGTTGGGGGAGGTTTGGGGGCTGGTGGCGGGTGGGGAGGAAAAGGGTGTTAATAGTTTCCTTAATTAGAACATGTATTGATAGCTAGAGATTACATGTTTGAGATTATATGTTTGAAACACCAGGCTACCCCTTTCCTTAGATTGTCTGTCTTTATTTTTTACCCTCTCTCTCCTCTGAAAACTGTCCCATGTTTCTCTCCCTTCCTTTTCCTGGGATGTTAGTAACATCCACCATTTCAATATGTGTGTCTTTCTCTGACATTGTTCAAGGGTCTTCTTCACCCACTTCTTCTGCAAGGAAAAGCCATTTTCTAATATCCCTCCTACACAGCAGGTTGTTATTCTGGATCTTCTACGTAAAACCCACGTCAGAGCCTCACTCCCCATGTTCAAATCTGACCATAACCCCACCTTACTGAAGTGGGTTCAGATCTCTTCTGTGGTTTTGTACCTCATTTCTTTGTCCAGTCTACGCTGCTTCTTTGGCTGTCACCTCACCCCCTCCTCCTCTCTTGCTGTGCATGTGTGATTTTGGGCATCTAAAGATGGCATCTCTTTTCCAAGCAGAACCCTTTCATTGTGGGTAGTAAAGCTAGTGTTGTAGACTGAGTTGAGTGTTAGATTTGTACTTCACATCCTTACTCAGCCATGAAGCTTGCTAGATGGCCTACTCTTGGAGAGATGAAATTGGGATTATCCTAGATATGCCACCCTGCACTATTTGAAGGAAGGGCAGGATTCTAATTATTTAATATGATTAAAATATAAATAATTGACAGATGTTGTTACCCAGCCACCCACATGCTAATAGGTACATTTCTGAAATCACCTGGTATTGCTCTTCAGCTAGTCAGGTAGCAGCAGAGCAGTGTACCATCTGTGATCTCCTTGGAAAAGTTCTTTTGACTCTAATAAACAGTTGGCATGATTTGACAATTGAGGCATGGACACAAAGCCTTTTCACCATGCTTTCTTTCATGAGGGTCCTCATAAATCCCATCAAATGCACTTTGTCAGCCTTCATTTCAACCATCTAACATTGTATTACCTTAAAATTGCCTTCTTATTACAAGAAATCTTGTTCATAAGTCTTTATATGGTTGGTTGCTCATCTTTATGTCCTCTCTAATTTTCTCAACACCCTTTTGTAAAAGTGCAAAATCAAATCAAAAGTATATCTAGTACACTTACCCTCCCCTGTTCCCTCTTGCTACTGCCCTTGTTGTCTAACATCAGCCCTTTTGACACCCTGATCTTGTTATCCAAAAACACAAGGCGAGCCTGCTGGATCAGGCCAGTGGCCCAGCTAGTCCAGCATCTGACAGGGGCCAATGAGATGCCCATGGGAAGCCTGAAAGCAGGACTTGACCACAGCAGCCCTCTCCCCACCCTTGATTCCCAGTGGTTGGTATTCAGACACCTGCTGCCTTCAACAGTGGAGGCAGAACCATGCCAGAATAATGAGCTCCTCCCACAAAGTGGCCAATGTTCACTCCCCTCTTCACTGAGCCAGCCTGACTCATATCTCCTTATCCCTGGTGAAGGAAACAGACCTTCTTTTATTTCCAAAGGCTCGGTGTCTGAGGGTTTGATTTCCATTTGGGAGGTAAGGTTTATGCTGAGTACAACACTCCAGAATATTCTCTCGCACAAGTTCCATTGAGCACTCCTTGTGCTGGATTCCGCCCCTTGTTTGTAGAGAGGTGCCTCCTCTCCCCCCCCCCACTGCATTAAGGGAGGTTCCTGCGTTACATAATCCTCACCTGCTCCTTTTATTTTGGTCATTTTCAAATGTTCTTAGCATCAAGTTCATGTGTTTTAGGCTACCAATAGTGGTGTGGAAAACAATGGCCTTAGAATGTTTTCCCTGAGAAAACAAAATAGAAAGAAAGGGCTCGTGGTAGTTGATGTTTTCTTCAGCAGCTGCAGGTTACCCAAGGAGCTGCCCTCACCCTTCTGTCACATTCAGAATAAGGATATTAATGTTTTGTTTGGCTTTCTGAACTGTGTATTGGGGTGGGGATATGGGCGCATGCCAGCCTGACCATCTTTTAAAGTAAAGTGGGGTTCAGGGTAGCCTTTCAGCCCAACAATTTGCCTTTTCAGTTAAAAGCATCTGGATTTGCATTGTGCCTTTGTATTATTCTTACTGATTTGGAAATAACTTTGCTTAATAATATCTTCCCATGGAAAACTGGTAATTGAAATCTATTGGTTGACCAGTTCTCTAGCCAGTTAACTAGCTTTATTTGTACTGATTTTTACCATAATGTTATGTAATGCTTATTGTGTGCCTTTCATTTATGTAGCAATTTGCAGGTCAATCCAACCTGTTTGTTTTAGTAGCAGCAGCTGAAACAATGATTTGCAATCTTCCTAGCTCAAGTTCAATTCTCCCTTTGTACAAGCCCCAATCGCAAGGTGCTGCCTAGGGGCAGGGGGAATCTTGCGCCCCTCCCTCTCTCTGGACCATACAACTACTCTTGTGTGACCTACAACAAAGGCAGGGGCAACTGCCTTTATAGAGATCACGTCCCAGAATATATACAGGGTTGTGGAACAAGCCATGCCCTTTTATTGACTCTGTGACCCTTCCATCTAACCATATGAGCAAATGTGTAAGAACTGGACATGGGGAGTTCTGTTCTGGATAAAGAATGTGTAGAATATCATGAAGAGCCATGACTAAAGCCAGAGAGGATGCTGATGTTTCTCTCTACTAAGATATAAGCTCCACTTGCATTGTAGTTTGTGAGAGGGAAGCTG